CATGATCATGACTCACCACAGCCTCAACCTCCTGGACTCAGGTGATTCTTTTTGTCTCAGCCTCTGAGTAACTGGGACTACAGGTGTGTGTCACACCTGGCCAGTTTTTTTTTATTTTTTGTAGGGATGAGGTCTCACTATGTTGCTTAAGCTGGGGAAAATTAGGCTTTTGTTTGTCATATCTGTTGTTAAAAGTGTTCTTCTAAGTTTTGGTGGTCTTTTAATTTCATTAGCATTTAAAAAATTCATAAGCAATATATTTGACTACATAATAATTCTTTCCATTATGTGAAGTGAAATGGAAGCCAGACACAAAAGGATAAATACTGTGTGGGTCCATTTATGTGAAGTGCCTAGAACAGTCAAATTCATAAACAGAAAGTACAGTAGAGGTTACCAGGGGCTGTGGGGAGCGGCAAGCGGGGAGCTATTGTCCAAAAGCTACAGAGTTTCAGTGTGGGAGGATAAGAATGTTCTGGAGCTGGATAGCAGTGATGGTTGCACAGCAGTGTGAATGTACTTATTGCTACCAAACTGTACACTTAAAATGGTTAACATGGTACATTTTATATGTACTTCAGCACAATAAAAAATTGAACCCTTTCAAGGATTCCAGGGTTTGTATCTGCTTAGAAAGACTTTCGCTACCTCCCAAAAGTCCTTTTATTCTTCTAGAATGTTTGTTGGCATGGGGTTGGTGGAAGGTGCAACTCTAGGACAAGAATTTGTGGTGAAGAGGCTTCTGTAGCAGTGAGGGGAGGAGGTGACGAGGACCTAACTTAGGTGATGACGCAGAAGGAACAGGTTCTTCTGACTGGGAAGGAGGGATGATGGGATTTGGCTTTCTATGGGACATATGCTTGATGTGTGGCAGGTGCTTGGATGTTTGTTGAATGAGGAGGAGTGAGGGAAGAGACAGTCCGCACAGAAATTTCTAACCTGGCAGCATGCACAGTAGTAACAATAGCATTAATCAGATTCAGTAAAGAAAGAAGATCAGGTTTGTGGGTAGAATAGGATGCACTCCATTTTGGATGTGCTAATATTTTTAGGTGCTGGCCAGTCATATGGGTGGGTTCCAGGAGGCAGTCAAAAGGCAGATCTGGTGTGGGCAAGAGTTAAAGGGGACACATTTGGTTTAGAACTTAGCCAGTAAAGGTGACTGCAAAAGCCATGGGATTGAAAGGAAGAGTAAAAGAGCATCAAGAGGCAATGGCTAGAACCTTGAATTTCCGACTATTTTTTTTGAGGTGGGTTCTCTCTCTGTTGCCCAGGCTGGTGTGCAGTGGCATGATCACAGTTCACCACAGCTTTGACCTCCTGGGCTCAGGTGATTCTCCCGCCTCAGCCTCCTGTGTAGCTGGGACTACAGGCATGTATCACCACACCAAGCTATTTTAAAAATTTTTTGAATTTTTTGTAGAGATGAAGTCTCGTTATGTTGCCCAGGCTGGTCTCAAACTCCTGGACTTAAGTGATTCTCCCACCTCAGCCTTCCAAAGTGCTGGGATTACAGGTGTGAGCCACTGTGCCTGGCCCAAGAATTTCCGTTTTTAAGTGGGATGAAGAGAAAGCATAGCCAGAGAAGCACATAATGTGTACAGGAGATGGCACTTGGTATATGGGCCTGAAAGAAGAAGTTTGACAATGGTAGGTTGGCGTGTGGGTGAGTGGGGGTAGTGCCAGAAGGGTTCCAAGAAGAGAGTAGGAATGGACTCCACCATCCATCAGCCAAATGTTGAATGAATTTGTTGCAGAAAACTGGAAGTTTCAGGGTTGAGTCAATCAACATTGTCACAGTGGAAGTGGAGATAAAGACCAAGAAAAGGTCATTTCCTCCAGGGTTACTGTGACTATTGATATTTAGCCGCTTGGGTATTAAGAGTCTAATAGCCTTGATCTACTTTGCTTAAGCTCCCAGCCAAAGATATCTGGTCACCTCGGAGTGTGTCAGGTTTCTAAACAAACTCAGTGGTCATCCACCCTGGCTTTAGATGGGATGTGTCAGCCTCTTCTGTTGTGACACACATTTGTGCTATGTCCATACCAAGTGGTTTTCAGGTCTGCTTTCATCATTACTTTCTTTGTTGTGCTTGTTTTTAATGTTCTTTTAAAATGAGAAATTGAATGAGATCATGTTTCTGGGGAAAGGAGATAATGGGCAGTGATGCGATTGTCTATGGTTGGAGTATTATACTGCAAACATAAGCCCTGAGTGGGTGGCAGGAAAACAGTTTAGGCTGTTTGAGCTCTGCTTTGCCCAAAGCCCCTACACTTGGTTTCAAAGATTCACAATTTGGTTGATATTAAAAAGAGTTTAAAAAATGACAGCTTTTTAAAGTTTCAGAGTCTAGGCATGGTGACTCACGCCTGTAATCCCAGCACTTTGAGAGGCCAAGGTGGGAAGATTGCCTGAGCCTTGGGGTTTGAGACCAGCCTGAGCAACATAGTAAGACTTCGTCTACAAAAAATAAAAAAATTACCAGGGCATAGTGGCATGAGTCTGTAGTCCCAGCCACTCTGAAGGCTGGGATGAAAGGATCAGTGGAGCCACAGAGGTCGAGGCTGTGGTGAGCCGTGATCATGCTGCTGCACTCCAGCCTTGGGTGACAGTGAGACTGAAAAAAAAAAAGTCTTAGAGTGCCATTTTTTCACCCTTCAGACTGACAAAGAGTTAGAAACTTTGATAACTGTTGGGACAAGGGTGTAGGAACACAGGCACTCTATACTGCTGGTGGAGAGTTCATCACTACAACCTCTTTGAAAGGTAATTGGTGATATTTACCAACTATACGTATCCTCTGACACAGCAGTTCTGGACAAGATAATTCATGGCAGCATAACCTGTAGTGGCAAAAGATGGCAACAACCTAAAATGTCCATCAATAGAAACTGGTTAAAGAATTATGACATATTGCCACCATGGAATACTTTAGTTATTAATGCTTGTTTATGTACAAAGTAGCCCTGAAACTATTTAGTAGAAACCAGGAACTATGGTGGCTTCTGGGAGCAGACTGGGCTGGGAGGGACTTTTCACTTGCCTTTTAGACCTTATGAATGATCTCTACCCACCTGCCAGCTGAAACCCAAACACACCAAACCAAAAAAAAAACTTTGCTGGCGGTAGAGGATGCACTAATAGGTTTTAACACATGGGAAACTTGAGATCAATCCTAGCCAGAGTGGACTTATAGGAATTATTTAGAGAAAGTTAGAGCCGAAGACCATCTGATCTTTCCTGCCACAAGGAAATGTATGGGAGGGGTGGGAGCAGGAATGCACCAAGAAGTCAGGAAGTCAAGACATTTGTTGGATAGACACTTTATTGAGGCTTACTTGTAGTAAAACATTCAACTCCTCAACACATACATTTGTTCTGGTGTTTTTCTCCCCCCCATGGAGATCACAGCATGATGCTCCAAGGCCTTCAGCCTCATCTATGTCAGTTTAGTCAATAGTTGCCTATTTGCTAGTTCTACTCATTAGAGAGAAGAGTCAAGAAAAATTTGTTCTTCACATCCCAAGTTAAGGGCTGCAGGATTGGTGACCCATTAGTGTAAAGTGCTTATGTTCAGTGCAAAAAGGGCAGATTCAGAAGGACAAGCAGATGCCAGGGAATGACGGTTTCCCGGGATACGGGTGTGTCCTATGACTCAGGAAGGAAAAGCTGAACTTCAGCCTGAAGTGATCTAGTGATGTCCTTACAGTCTTTCTCCTCAAAGGCCTTTGAGGACCTGAACTTTTAATCTGACAGAAGTCCAAGCGTGTTTATTATTTAAAAATGTGTGTCAAGGGGGATCCACAGGGTTTCTAAGCACCAGAGATACTGCCTTCAGTTCTCAGGTTCTGCTTGTCTCAGCAGCAAAGGTGAGATCCACAGGCCAAGCCCTAGCCAGTGAAGGCTCAGAGCCGCAGAGCTGTTCTTTGGCCTCCTCACTTGCAGATCCTGGTCACTGAGCGTGACAGACCCTTTCTCAAACACTGTCACATCTCAGGTGGGAAGCCAAGTCAGTGCACATTAAAGAAGCACCTAGCCTAGTTTCCACCACATGGATATGATCTAGTCACTGTCCCCTCGTTCTGCCTTGTCCACAGGCCCAGTTCTGAAGCCAGCCCTTGACTTCCTTTGTTAAAACAAAGACAAGAAGCACACTGCCCTCTCCAGGATCCTGGTGTCTGCATCTCCATGTGGTGGCCCTGAATGGACATAGGAGAGCAGAGAAAGTGGTTTCCTCACTAGTTCTAGGGGCACACCCAGGACTGTCACCTCAACAGGTAAAGCCTAGCCATTCAGCCTGGAATCCTGGCTGCCATTCCTCTCCCCAGACCCTCAAGAGGGAGTTGTGTTCTCTTGCCCCCCAGTTTTGCAGCAGGGACGTTCCTAAGAGCCAGCTCCGCTTGAGAGCAACCTCTCACATCCCTGTTGGGATGGCGCATCTTTCTCTCCTTCTGGGGGATGTGAAGAGGACCCTCCTGTTCCTGCCCATGTGCCAGCCTCTCAGACCTGTGTCAGCCTCTCAGACCTGATCATATGTGTGTGCACCCACAGCTTTTGGATGCCAGCACCTGAAAGCCCTTCTACACAGTCTACCTTCCAAAGACTCACTGGAAATCCTTGTGCTTGGGAGACAATACACCTGGAAAACAGCTATTCTATGGGTAGCACTTGCCCCAAAGCCATCTCTGAATTTTGGGAAAGGGAAAAAGGGGCAATCCTTTGGGTGTTGTTCTAGAATCCTCGGTAAAACCTCTCCAGTGAGAGGGCGCTACTACAGTCTGTCCACATGGGGGATCATACAAACAGGATGACCCAGGTCAAGAACCAAAACGCAGGGGAGGTTTTCAGAGTGGTGGGTCTAAAGTAAAGTGCCTCTTTTCATTTGTTCAGAAATGCTTGGGCGTAAACATGAGTGCATGGGGATATGGGCACATGTGCACACAAACAAACTCACTCACTCTGAGGTAGAAAGCACCGGCCATCTCCAGACAAACACACATAGATTCCAGAATTTTACAGAAACATGGCACTTGTGTGAGAGGTCCTGTCCTTGCCTGAGAAGGCAAAGAAAGGTCTGATCCAGCTCTTTCCAGCCTTGGGCAGAGCCAGAGAATCCCGCTCTGCGGGAGGAGACAGGTGGAAAGTATCACTGTCACTGCCATTGCCCAGTCCTTGGGCCACTCTTTCCTGGTCCCGCTGTGCAGTCTCACTTCCTGGAGCCTGAACCATGGGCACCCCGAGGGTGGCTTGTCAGAAGCCACTGGGCACAGATGTCTTGGACGACCGCATCTCCGCTGCTCTTGGCAGCCTGCTGCACCTGCTGGACCAGCATTGCGGCCCGAGAGTGCTCTTGCTTCACGGCGATCAGGTAGGCAGAACGCAGCTTGCAACATATCAGGTAGGCCCGGACCTGGCAGTCGGATGTAAGAGACAGTGGGAAGGAAACCGTCACTGGTGGCTCAAGGGCACAGCTGGGTCAGAGAGCTCAGGCAGATGAGCATCACCTCTCATCTATCAACTAGTAACTGGGCCCTTGCTTTTTATAGTATTATCACTACTCTTTAAGTATTCTGGGCAAAAGATATTACATGGTGCTATTTTATTTTATTTTATTTTATTTTTTTTGAGTTGGAGTCTCACTCTGTCGCCCAGACTGGAGTGCAGTGGCCGCTCCCGGCCACCGCAGCCTCGGCCTGCTGGGCTCCGGTGATCCTTCCGCCTCAGCCTTCCAAGTAGCTGGAACTACAGGTGCGCGCTACCACGCCCGGCTGATTTTTTGATTTATTGTAGAGATGAGGTCTCGCTGCCCAGGCGGGTCTCGAACCCGCGGGCTCAGGCAATCCACTCACCTCAGCCTCCCAAAGGCGCAGGATTACAGGCTGAGCCACCGAGCCCGGCTTACATGGTGCTATTTTATAGTGGAAGAAGTTATTACAAATAAGCTAAGAATTTAGAAAAGAAGGCAAGTGGGTAGCGGAGTCTGGCCTTTACCCACTGTCTCCGAGGCCCTCCTTCTAACTCTGTCAGGTGCCCCAGCTTCCTCCTGGCTTCAGAACCCACACTGCCACTGCCCACAGCTGTGATTTTATCATTATTTGGATGATTACCAGATGGATGTCTGTCTCCTTAAGCTTCAGGATGGCAAGAACAGTGACTGCTCTTTCTCCCTTCTGTACTCCTGGTGCCTATCACAGAGCTGGCAGGCAATGGGTGTTCAGAAAATATGCATTACATGAATGCACGAACCATCATGCCTTCCCTGCTAATGGACACAGATCCTCCTTCTCTCCTTTTCTTTTTCTTAAGACAGTTTTAATTCTTTACTCATCACTATACTAGTGAGGATTTATTTTTCTATTTTCAGCTTGCTGAATTTATAGGTTTTTTTGTTTTTGTCTTTTAGTCAGAGTCTCACTCTGTGGCCCAGGCTGGAGTGCAGTGGCATGACCAAAGCCCACTGCAGCCTCTACCTCCTGGGCTCCGGCAATCCTCCCAATTCAGGTTAACTGAGTAGCTGGGACTACTGTGTGCCACTACACCAGGCTAACTTTTGCATTTTTTGCTAAGATGAGTTCTCACTATGTCGCCTAGACTGGTCTCAAACTCCTGGGCTCAAGTGATTCTCCCACTTTGGCTTCTCAAAGTGCTGGGATTACGGGCGTAAGCTACCATGCCCAGCCTGAATTTTCTGTTTTCAACAGGAAACTTGGGGAGGAAAACACATACAATAGGAGAAGGTCTAATTAAGGTATAACCCTGGTTAGATCTGACTTGACTTCTCTTGTTTGGATCAGAGGTGACAGTTTCAGGTGTGTGTGTGTGTGTGTGTGTGTGTGTGTGTATCTCCCAGCTCGCCATCTCATGAAGCCTCAGCTTGGTGGAGGATGAGCACCCCTTCATTCCTCAGCCCCAGTCTCGCCAGCACTGCCCAACTAGCCAGTGCTCTAGGATGCTGGGCAGCGAGGCCCTCAGGAGCCACCCCAGAGCCTCGGTGAACAGCTGCCTTCCTGTAACAAAAGTCCCTGTGGGTGGGTGGCAAGGACTCTGCTTACTTCATGCATCAGTGCTCCATCTGTTTTTTGTTTTGGTCACTGAAATCTTTCTTTCCTGTCTGAGCTCAATTACAGATAATCCCCTCCAGCTAGAAGATGTTCTGAGGTCACTAGGTGACCTGGGTATCTACAAGCTGCCCTCGAAAACTGGCTCTGCCCAGGTCTTCAACTCCACTTAGCACCTGTGTATGCTAAGTACACAGCATAAGTTGTCAGGTCAAATTCCTACCAGAGGCTGGGTGCAGTGGCTCACACCTATAATTCCAGCATTCCAGGAGTCCGAAGCGGGAGGACTGCTTCAGCCCAGGAGTTCAAGACCAGCTTGGGCAACATAGTGAGACCTCATCTTAACAAAAAATACCAAAATTAGCCAGGCATGGTGATGTGCCTGTAGTCCCAGCTACTCTGGAGGATGAGATAGAAGAATTGCCTGAGCCTAGGAGGTTGAGGCCGCAGTGAGCTGTGACTGTGCCATGACTCCCGCCTGGGTGACAGAGTGGGATCCTGCCTCAAAAAAAAAAAAAAAAATTGCCACTAGTAGAACCAGAGCATTTTGCCAGAACATCTGGAATAGGAACTGAATGGAGCTGGGCTTTGGCAAGACCCCATGGTCTGAGACCACTTAAGTGCATCAGGACAGCTGTGGGAGGAAAAAACTCCAAGTACCAAGAACTGTCTAGATGTCAGTGCAAGACTTTCCTAGGAACAGAGCCTCTGTCTGGCTGAGTGGGAGGCTTCATGAAGGTGTGAAAAAGAACTACAGCCTGGGAATCAAGGGACCTGGGTGTCTGACCTGGTTGTTGGGGTCTCATTCTGGTTCTAGAAGACTAGTTCTCCACATTTCAGTGTCAGAATTTCATCCTAAGGATCTTATCAGGATGTCGTGGAAATAAATGAAGAGATGTTTAGAACATGTCTTTCTTGACCCCGTGACTGAAAAATGCCTGGTAAATTCAGGGACCGGCACTCTGCTAGGGAGGTATGTAAGGAAGCTCTTTGCCTGACACTAGTTTTCGTCATGAGGCACTCAGCTGCCAGACCATTTTTCTGCTGATGGCCTGGGTGGCTCAGACTGGCATGGTATGCCTGTGCCTCTCCTGGTCTGGGAGCCTCCTGCAGATGGCAGGAGGACCCATCCAGGGGTTAGTCACAAGTAGGGGCAGCTGGGGATACTTCTATTCTGGCAGCACTCCTCACAAGGGCAACTAAGCTAAGGTTTGCCAATTTCCAAAACGCCCCAGGGCACAGGCCCATTCTGAAGAACGAGACACTAGTGGACACTGTTGGTCAAAGGGCTGAGTGGGGCCCTTTGCCCTGCTGCTTACCTTGGGAAACTCACTCAGCTGGCCCACCTAAAGATGGATGTGAGGGACTTTCCTAGGGCTCTTGGAGGGAAAATAAAATGGAGACTCAAGAGCAGCCTCAGACACATTTGTCCTGGGGATAAAGAATATCTGTTCCCTCCCTTCTCTATCCCATCCCAGACCTGTTCCACCTCAGGATGACAAGGGAGCTAAGCTATGGGGTGTCTTGAGCTTTTGTGCGGAGCCAGGAAGAAAGGTGACAAGGCAAGACCGAGGAGCAGTCCAGGGTCTGGAGACGATTCTGCTCACCTTGTTGTCATCATTGTGAATTGCCTGGATCAGGCTCTCCAGTTCCTGTGCAGAACAGAAATACAACAGTTGTGAGAGAGAGAGAAGAGTCCCGCAGCCTAGGAGCCAAGGCCTAACCCAGGCTCAGCCCAGCCATCCTGGCTCTAGGATGCGAATGTCTGCGACTTTTCCTTTTTTTTCAAGAGATGGGGTCTTGCTATGTTGCCCAGGCTGGAGTGCATTGGCTATTCACAGGTGAGATCCCACTACTGATCAGCATGAGTTTCAACCTACTTTGTTTTTGTCCTGGGTTGATTGACCCTTCTTAGGTAATCTGGTGGTCCCTACTCCCAAGGGTCACTATATTGATGCTGAACTTAGTGCAGACACCCGATTGATACAGCACACTACAGCCCAGAACTCTGAGGCTCAAGCGATCCTCCTGCCTCAGCTTTCCAAGTAGCTGGGTCTACAGGCACCACCACCACGCCTGGCTGACTCTTCTTTTTAAACTCAACTCCTGCTACAAAAGCAGGAAAGGAAATCTAACCATAACACTAAGCTTGGGAATTTGGAGAGAAGAAACAGCTCCCAAGAGGCCAGTCCTTGGTCTTCATAAATGGATGTGGCTCTGGTCACCCCACAAAGCTGCCATAGAGAAACAATTTTGCAGGTAACATGACGCAAAGGCCACCTGGTTGCCCACCCTGACCTCAAGAATTGCAGGGAGAAGCTCACTTCCACTGGTTCACAGACTCTTCCAGATGCAGACATTATTAGATGACAGGCTGTTGAGGGCCACCTTCTAAGTACAGAGGTTATCATTATACATTTTCTTTACAGGGAAGGGTCGATTAGAGTGAGGTCATTATTGCAGAGGGGTCAGAGAGATAAAGGGATCTTGTAGAGTTTCAGGCACATTGTGGGGAACAGAAAAAGAAAGACACTGAGCTAGATGGAGGAGACGCGTGTGGGAAGCGCACACCTGGGGTGGAATTCTCTTGAATGCCTCCAGGCAGTTGAGGAGGATGGTGTCCCCATCACTTTTGGCTGCCACACCTGACTCACTGACACACTTGAGCAGCTGTCGGATCTCGCTGTATTTCTCCTTCTCCACCAGCTGCCGGGCAGCTCTGCAGTAGGTCGCTGCAGCATCCAGCTGGAAGTCCTAGAACAGAGCGTGGCACAATGGGTGGAGTGGGAACATTGACAGTGGGGAGGGAGGCCATGTTTTAAAAGCTCCCACCATGCTTGGTGTAGATAAGCCACACTGACGACAGTCACAATAGAAAACATGAATATAACAAATGAGAAACAATTCTAAGCTCCTTTTTGGTGTCAGGCAGACATTTAGGAAGCATCTATAAAACTGTAGCCTTAATATCTAAAATGGCACATCTCACTTCTTTCTGGGAAAAGAAAAAAAAAATATATATAGTTTGAGTTGGTGTCTCACTCTGTTGCCCAGGCTGGAGTGCAGTGGCACAATCACAGCTCACCACAGCTTCGGCCTCCTTGGCTCAGGCACTTCTTCCTTCTTAGCTTCCCATGTAGACGGGACTACAGGTTTGGGCTGCCACACCGAGCTAATTTTTTCATTGCTTTTATTGAGATGGAGTCTCGCTATATTGCCCAGGTTGGTCTTGAACTCCTGGGTTCAAGCAATTCTCCTGTCTTGGCCTCCCAAAGTGCTGGGATTACAGGCATGAACTATCATGTTTGACCTGAAGATATTCTTATCAGTTCCCAAGACTAGTTCATTTTCTCTCATGAGCCACCTTTCCCTTGGAAAATGGGTACTGGGGACTGGAATCTGCTGCCCTGGTCACCTGGTGCTCTGTGAAGAGGCAGGTGCTTTTGTTTACAGAAATAGACAACTCACCGAAAGACAGATTTGCTGAAAACTGCCAGATAACTCCCTTAAACCTGGTAGAGAATAACCCTTAAGCCACTAAGCCTGGGTGGAGCTGTCCATCTGCCTGCTATCAGGGTCTCTGTGTGTGAAGACCCTATACTGAACATGACTGATCACTGATGAAGCCGCTGACCTGAGACATGTGCCATGTGTCCAGTGCCCTACCTGCCTTGGGCGGCAGCAACCTCCGCTGGCTCCCGGGGTGTCTGTGTGGAACTGTGGGGTGGGGCTGGGGGAGTCTGGAGAGACTCTGACCCTTGTGGCTTCAGCGCCCTGCTCCAACCCCAGTGCCCAGCCTTACCTGTGTCCTTTTGCCACAAGCAATAGAAAATGTACTCCTTGAGCCCGCTCCTAACCACACAGAGGACAGAGGGACAGGCCTTGGGGCCAGTGGGGAGACTTGGGCACCCCCTCCAGCCATGCTCCCCTGGGAGGCAAGCGGTGTTCAGTAGGGAAATTGCTGTGGGGAACTGTCCTAAACTTGGCTTCCGGTATTCATTTGCTGGCTTGTGAGGAATTTGTCATTGGTTGCTTGGCTTTTGGCAGAGTGGCCTGGAGTCTTGAATCTGACCCAGTTCTATAATAGCCACCTCTTTGATTTCATCCCTAATGTACATGTAAATCTGCTTTTCTTGGGATAAGAATTTTCTAAAGAATAATCTCTCCCGGAACTGTGGTCAGGTGCTGACTACCCTTGGTATAATCTTGAGTAATCCAAGTCATACCTGCAGAACACGGAATGCAATTCCAAAGCCATCTTCTACATTTTTACCTCCCAGCATGACCTGAAAACAAGAGGAACACATGCTTAAAAAAGCAATAATTACTAGAGTAGCCCCTCAATCAGGAATGGGGCCCCCATGTATTCAATTATCCAACAAATACTTGTTGAGACTCGGCTAAGTGCTGGGCACTAGGGATACAAGAGTGATCAGAATGGACTTGTCCCAGGCTGCTGTGGCTCCCATTCTAATGGGAAGGCAGCTGTTAAGCAAACAACTGAAATAACAAGTAGACAATTACAACTGTGATAAGTATTCTGACAGACAAGAATAGAATGCTTGAGGTCTGAAACATTGCACATACCTTGCAGGCAACGTCCATTTTCATGTGGTTGTTTCCAAACAAGGTTGGCAGAGGCAAAGTGGTGATTTGAGAGGTCCCAGCACTTTCGCACCGATGTAAGAACCTGGTCACTTCCATTTGCAGCTGCAGTGTGTTCATGTGCCTACAGGGACAGGACATGCACAGTCTAGTCTCAGGAGGGGCCTCAGGAGAAAGTGGACTGGGACTAAGACACTGAGAAGTCAGAATAACATGGCACCAGAAAATGCAAAAGAGGGCTGTTACAGTGGCTCACATCTGTAATCCCAGCAGTTTGGGAGGCCAAGGTGGGAGAATGGCTTGAGCCCAGAAGTTCGAGACAAGCCTGGGCAACACAGTGAGATCTCATCTCTCAAAAATTAAAAAAAATTAGCCAGTAGTGGTGGTGCATGCCTCCCAGTTACTTGGGAGGCTGAGGTGGGAGGACTGTTTGAGCCTAGGAGGTCAAGGCTACAGTGAGCCAGAATCAAGCCACTGCACTTCAGCCTGGGAGACAGGAAGACCCTGTGTCAAAGAAAAAAAAAGGCAAAAGAAATGATGTGTAAGGAAAAGACACCCCCAGTGTCAAGGTGCTCCATGGAGCTGGATGAGGCCCAGTTAATTAATCAGTAAGTATTCATTGAGCACTTACGTGCCAGGTACCACAACAGAGGTTAAGGATCGTGAACTCTGCCCACATAGTTTATAGGCTAGAGGAGAGGTGAGTAGTACACAAAGACAATACTTAGCAGTGAGGCCTATGAAGGAAATCAATGGTGGGAAGGAGCCTTTATTTTAGACATTATATTCTAAGCAGAGGGATCAGCAAGTGGAAAAGCTGACAAGAAGGACTTGGGTGTGTTGAGGACCCTCAGGGGCGGGGATTGGTGTTTAGCAAGGATGAAGAGAGTAGCAGGAGATGAAGATGGTGCCATCAGCTGGGGCCAGAACACGCAGGACCTTTTTGCCTATTGTAAGCAGTTGGAGTTGAGTCTGATTGTAGCCTGGAATCCCAATGCTCACTCCACTCCCCTTGGCCCTACAAGCTCCTCCCTAGGCTTTCCTGGCTTCTACTAGACACCGTCACCCAGGGATGATTCTTTCAGAGTTTTTTTTTTTTTGAGTTAGATTCTTGCTCTGTCACCCAGGCTGGAGTGCAGTAGTAAGACTGCAACCTTGACTTCCTAGGTTCAGGCAATCTTCCCACCTCAGCCTCCTGAGTAGCTGGGACCACAGGTGCATATCACCATGCCTGGCTAATTTTTTGATTTTTTTGTAGAGACGAGGTCTTGCTTTGTTGTCCAGGTTAGTCCCAAGCTCCTGGGTTCAAGTAATATTCCCTGCTTGGCCTCCCAAATTGCTGGGATTATAGGTGTGAGCCTCCATGCCTGGCCTAGGTTTTTTTTTTTTTTTTAAGGATTCAGGCAGTGGGCAAGAGTAGCTTTACCATGACAGACATTCAGTTTCAGCCTTTCTGCCCTGCACTCATGGTCCCCTGAACCTCAAGCTACCTTGACACATCAGCTGCAGTCATCTTCTTTCGGAAGAAGGTGGTTTTCTTCCTTCCAGAGCTGCGAGACGTTTCTTGGAGGTAGATCTTCAAGTGGTCCTTGGCCTTCAGCAGCCAGGAGAGTTTCTCTCCCAGTTCCGTGTATGACTTGGCTTTGTGACTGAAGAACCGAATACAGGTCATGGCGGCCCGGACTTGGTCCTAGGAGAGATAAATGAATGGTTGGGACAAAGGAGTTTAAGGATGCTGGAGGGTAGGGTGTGATGGAAGTTCCGATCTGATTTCCACCCACAGTCTGGTGGCCAGCACCCAGTCCTGTCACCAGCTGGACTGCTATTTTGTGCCCGTCACTCCAAGCCCATGGAGATCCTCCAGTGTGCTGACTGGTGGAGCTCTTGGGTAGCAGATCATTCCACCACTGAAGAGCACTGAAGACAAGATCCTCCTGACTCTCCAGTCAGACTGGCTCCTCTCTTACTTTGGCACTGAGTAACTCGATTTCTCTGTAATTTGGTATTGGCAATCCTTAGACTGGAGGAACTTGTTTCTTTTCCCTTCTTCCATTTTCTCTAAAAACACTTATTTTTCCATCATCTCTTATGAATTCTACATTCATGTCTCATGCTTAATTTGGGACTACCAAATACTTCTTTTTTACCTCTACATTCCTTGAGTTCTGAAGAGAGTCATTGCTGACAAGATTACAGTTTGCCTCTAAATTTAGGAAGGAAACCCTAACATCATTTCACAATGCTGGGCCAGGCACGGTGGCTCACACCTGTAATCCCAGCAATTTGGGAGGCTGAGGCGGGAGGACTGCTTGAGGTCAGGAGTTTGAGACCAGCCTGGGTAATACAGCGAGACCCCATCTCTATGAACAATTAAAAAAAAAAAGCCAGGTGTGGTAGCATGCACCCGTAGTTTCAGCTACTAGAGAGGCTGAGGTTGGAGGATTGCTTGAGCCCAGGAGTTTGAGGCTGAAGTGAACTATGATCATACCACTATACTCCAGCCTGGATGACAAAGAGACCCTGTCCCTCCCAACCGCCCCCCAAAAAGCAACAGCATCATGGGTTTGCTCTAGGGTCAAACAGCAAGGCCAGGGACCAAAGGATGGTTTTGTTTCCTCATCTTGCAGTTTCCCCAGCAAGGCTGGGCATCAGTGACAGAGGTGGAACGCAGGAAGGGGCTGCCATTACCTTCATAAACTGCTGCAGCTCGTACAGAACGTGGTAGTAGTTCTTCTTCTGTAAATGCTGGCAGGCAGCAATCAAGTACTTTCCCCAGCTCTCCAAGGTTGGGTCGATGGACTCTAGCAAGTTTTCTAAAGTGTGCAGCTTCCCACTTTGATAACTTGGCTGGAAAATGCCTTCTATGAAGACTTCCGGAGGGCTCTCCTGGAGCAGGGCAGGGAGATAAGTCAGACGTCTTGAGCCTGGGTCTAGTGCTGCCTGGGATCCACTCTCAACTCCCTTCCCCTTGCAGACCTTCAGCCTCCTCCCACAGCAGTGCTCCTTAACCTTCTGTGGGTCACAGATATCTGCCGGAATCTCACTCTAGTGACTGATGTCTCTGCTCCTTTTTCAGAAAAGCCCCCCAAAGGGGTTACCTGTATTCACTGCCTCTGACCCCCACCTGTGGTTTCCCTCTCAAGCCAACTCTCATTTAGCTTTTGTACCCACAACTCCACTGAAACTGCCCCTCAGGTTACCAGTGACCACCAGACTGTTCAATCTCTCAGTTCATTCTTGGTCCTCATTCTCTACCTGACCTAGCGGCAGATTTTGACACAGCTGATGGCTTCTTCTTCCTTGACAATTTTTTTAAAATTTAATTTTTATTTACTTATTATTTTTGTTTTTTATTTTTTTGAGTTGAAGTCTTACTCTGTCGCCCAGACTGGAGTGCAGTGGCCGCTCCTGGCCACCGCAGCCTCGACCTGCTGGGCTCCGGGGATCCTTCCGCCTCAGCCTTCCAAGTAGCCAGAACTACAGTCTCGCGCTATCATGCCTGGCTAATTTTTATTTTTAACTGAGAAAAACTTTCCTTTTTTTCCTCCAGGAACACTGCTTTCTCCAGGTTTCCCTCCCAGTCTCTGGCTGCTCCTTGTCACTTTCCTTTGTGGATCCCTCTGGAGGGGGCTGCTCTCTTTTCTGTTTGCATTCACTCTTGGTGATTTCATTCTGTCTCATGGCTTCACATGCTGTGTATTTGCTGATGATGCCTAAATACCTGTCTCCAGACTATTCATTCCTGCTGAACTCCAGAACTGCACATCCAGCTTATATCTGCCTACCTACTGGACACGTGCTCTTGGGCATCCAACAGACCTTCTACATCCACACCTGCATTTCTGATTGTCCCTCAAAAACTGCGCTTCCCAGTTTTCCCATTCTCAGATGGTAACACCATTCTTCTAGTTGTTCAGGCCAAAAACCTTGGAGTCATCTCCTTCATACTCCTACTCCAAATTCATTGGCAAATCCTACTGGCTGTCCTGCTGCAGCACACAGAGTGTCTGGCTGCTTCACACCACCCCTTGGATCATGCAGGCCCCAGCCGCCACCATCATTTGCCTGGGTTACTGCAACACCTCTTCCCTGGTCGACCAGCTCCCACCCCTGCCTCTTTCCTGTCTAATGCCAATACATCAACCTGAGTGATTCTGCTAAAACATAACAAGCCAGAGCACATGAGTCCCCTGCTCATGGTCTTCCAGGGGATCTGTCCACAGGGTGTGACGTGACTGGTCTGTCACCTTTTTGACCTTCCTGCTCTTCTCCTGTCCCAGAGGACTCCGTTCTAGCCACCCCGACCTTTCCTTGTCATGTCCTCTGCCCGGACTGCGTGTTCTCCGTAGATCTGTGTAACTCACTCTCATATCCTCCAGTTCTTCCCTCAGATGTCACCTTCCCTGGGTGCCCAAAGCTGCACAAGCCACCCTTCCTACTGCCCAGCTTTCTTTTTCTTCTTCTTATTCAGCGCCTACACTAGACACTTTATTTTCTGTGTTTATTGCCTCTCTCTCTACTATAATGTACATTTTATGGGGGAGATATTTTTGTCTGTTTCTTCACTGCCGTATCCCTAGAACCTGGAATAGTCCTTGGCTATTTAATATTTATTAGATAAAATAATGAAACTTTGTTGGATAAATGAATAAGTGACAGGCGTTATGGACTGATCCCTCAGGAAAGGGTGCATACACGTTAACTTCCCTGCTTCTGAAACTCACCTGTGGTTCAGAGACTCTAACTCATAAATCTCCATTCCACAGTCAGAGAAAAGAAAGAGATGATTTTGGCATTTAGACTTTGGGTGAGGAGTAACCGATGGAGAGTAAAGGGTGGCTATAAACTCATGGTGGGCATGAGCTGTTAAAAGCAGAGAGGATCTGGGCTCTGGGGGCATCCTTTCCTGATTCAGGCGGTTCCTGAGAAAATCAGACCTAACCTAAAAGTTGCAGGTCACATTTAAGAAGCGGTACATCAGTTCCATAGGAAAGACAGAATTCCTCAGAGGGGCAGCACCTCAAGAACTTCTATCTCATCCATCCATCTATCCATCCACTCATTCACAACTGGTACCAGGCCAGGTGCCTGAATACACAGACATGTAAAATACAGGCTTTCTCGGACCAGATGGGAAGGCTCGACTTTAAACAAACAGAGGCAATCGGTGGGATAAATGCAGCACCAGCAACGGTGGTGCAGAGGTGATGAATGCTGCTTGAGTGTTCTGTGAATACACAACAGAGGGTCTGAAAGGATACTGAAAGATGAACAGGAAGTTTCCGAGAAAACAAGATGGCGTTCTAGAGGGAATGGTACTTAAAGACTCATGGAGATAAGGCGGTGCATGGCGGTGGAATGCTATGTAGCTATAAAGAAGAACAAAATCATGGACTTTGCAGCAACATGGATGCAGCTGGAGAGCATCACACTAAGTGAACGATCACAGAAGCAAAGAAACGAATACTGCATGTTCTCACTCATAAATGGGCCCTGATCACCGGTCATATGAGCATAGGGGTAGGATCAGTAGATGCTGGACACTGCTAGGGGAGGGAGGGAGGAAGTAGGCACGTGGCATCATACTGGGTGCCTGGTCCACTATCAGGGGGAGAGAGGGCCAGCTAGAAGCCCAAAACTTCACCTGCATGCAGCCTGTTTATGTCGAAAACCCCACTTGTATCCCACAACTCTACTACTACTACTACTACTACTACTACTACTACTAAGAAGAAGAAGAAGAAGAAGAAGAAAGTGCATGATATAGTCAGGAAAATTTCAATACTTTGATGAGTTTGGACTGTAGGGTCCAGGTAGGGCTTAGGGTTAAAATGAACTGGGGAAGTAAGGGGCCTGATCCTGGTGGGTCGTGCTCAGGAGTTTGCACTTCATCCTGTGGCTGTGGGGATCCACTGAAGGCCTTCTTGGGAGGGAAATAAATGAGTGTGCTTCTGTCTTAGAAAGCGCCCTCTGGGGGCGGTGTGGGCAAAGGGGAAAAACGCACAGAGAAAAGGCTAGAAGCAGAACACCTTCCACACCCATGACACTCAGGTGTAATTTCCACAAGGTTATTTTTTCCTGCTGTCCCTACCTGTTTGAGAATTAAGGTAAGATCTTTCAGCTCAAGGGTGACTGTGATTACGGGAGATAAAAAGAAGGCTTCTTTCTGAGTTCTGACAAAGTAAAGCAAGGGCAATGCTATCATCAGCTTATGTCAAGTTGATGTAAGTAAGCAGCTTAACTCTCTGGATTACGGCTGCCAGAGAGAACGGAACCGGGTGGTTTCTGTAACCCATTCAGGATTGAGGTATCTCTACCTCAAAACTCAGTTGGAAACTGAGAAGGAAAAAAAGTTACCACTCTAAATAACATGACTTTTCCATTATTCTTGAGATCTGGTTATAGCTAAGACACAGTCAGTAGCTAAGCAGTGGTGAAAACATCCCCCCTAAAGGTCCTGCAGTGGTGTGGTCACCAGTTCTGTGAGCTGCTGTCACATGGTACAAGCCTAGAAAACATGTCTATAAATTTTCACTGACTGCTGTTTGGATGTAGGGCAACAGAATAAAAAGTTTACCTGGAGCGTCTTCACTTTTCCATGAAATTTGGTACATATCAGCCAATTTCTCACAAAGTTATTATGGAACTGTCAGATAAAAAAAGGACTGCCTCCAGGCATGGTGGCATGTACCTATAGTCTCAGTTACTTAGAAGGCTGAGGTGAGAGTACTGCTTGAGCCCAGGAGTTTAAGACCAGTCTGGGCAACAGAGCAAGGCCCCGTATTAAAAAAAAATTTTTTTTGGCTGGGTACAGAGGCTCACACCTGTAATTCCACTGCTTTGGGAGGCCGAAGTGGGTGGATTGCTTGAGCCCAGAAGTTTGAGACCAGCCTGAGCAACATAGTGAGACCTCAGCTCTACAAAAAAAAAAAAAAAAAAAATTAGCCAAGTAAGGTGGTGCATGCCTATAGTCCCAGCTACTTGGGAGGCGGAGGCAGAAAGATTGCCTAAGCCCATGAGGTTAAGGCTGCAGTGAGCTTGTGATCATGCTACTGCACTCCAGCCTGGGTGACAGAATGAGACCTCGACTCAAAAAAAAAAGAAAAAAAAGAAAACAAAAACAAATTCTTACACATCATATGGGGCAGGAAAAAACACAAAAAAGGAACGCCAAAGTGACATGATAAAATGAAGTCCTGCTTGCTTTGTTTATCAGTGACTTCAAAGAAGCAGGGCTTTTGAGGGGCCAGAGTATGTGAGAGGAAAAAAAGTGGAGTGTATGCTCCTTTCATCATCTGTTTCACCAAATACAGAATTGGTGCCATGGACGTTTCCTGGTCCTTGTGGTAAGAATACTGAGTGGACTGGCATTTGCGTGAGAACCTGGATGCCACCCCAGACCAGGTGAGAAGGCATGTGGAAAGAGAGGCAGAGCAGTAGGCCAAGGCCACACCAGACGCATGCTAAGCACTGCATTCTAGAAACCCTGCTCCTAATCGCTGTCTGATTCTGCTACATGTTTTGGGAGAAGGGATGTAATTTGCCACTGCCATAGAGAACGGCGATTTGGGATTGAAGCTAAGCTTGTTGCACACACATCAGATAACGGTTGGGTAGACAGAGTCTTCCATTTTGACCTGACCAGAGATGTTCTCACAGCTTAGTGCTGGGTTGGGTTTAAGCGGGGGGTATCATCCCCCTTAAAGCCAAGCCATCTGAGCTGGGGGAGCCAGGCTGGTGGCGAGCCACGCCCGCGGCCCACCTTGTTGAGGAGGTGAAGCAGGGCTTCCCGCAGGCAGCTGTGCCTCATGTAGAAGCTGATGATGGCTAGGTTGGTGCTGTAGCTGTGTAGGTAGAAGAGGCATTCTTGGTAGTAGGTGTTGTTTATGATCTTCCCGTCAGGAATCACCTCCAGGGAGAGACTCTGGGTTCGAAGGGTAGCTTCCAGCTCCCTCAAGGTGGCCAAGTAGTCGTCATCTTGCTGACAGGAAAGGAGAGTGCGAGAGAAAAACAGAGCTCAGCAAGTTCTCAGTAGGCACTGAAAATACTGCTTTCAAGGAATATTTAACAACGTAGAAATATGCTCCCAATGCAGTGTTCAGGGCAGAAAAACAGGCAGGTACAAAATTCTGCATATTGTGATACACTATAACTCTAATTTCATTAAAAAACATAACATGGAAAAGCCATCAAATTCTTAATACTAATTAGTCGGGGTATGGGATTATATATGATTTTTATCCTTTTCAAAGTAGTTTGCCATAGTCCCTCCCCCTTTTCTAAAAAAAGTTGACTCTATTACTTATCTAACCAAATATGGTTACTCATCTATATATATATCATGGAAAAAACAAAATTTAAACCTGGCAGGCTCTGAGCCAGGAATGACACATCAGTCGAATTGAAGTTGACTCTTTCCCCAGTCCCGACCACTCTTGGGCCTCCCTCGCCAAGTAGGACTTTCTGCCTGCTCTGCTCTTACCAAGGACATGAGGGGCCTCACTGTGGACTCCAGGTACTCAACCACATCCTGCACTAGCCGTGAGCCATGGCTCAGCTGATTGAGGTCCAACGGGGGCTTCAGACAGCGGCCGAACTTCTCCCGTGCGGCGGTGAGGTTTCCAGCCTTGAGGCAGGCCATGCCCCAAGCGTGCCACGCCCCAGTGGAATCAAGCCCAGTCTTTGTGGAGACCTGGGGGAAAAACCTCTCAGTGACAGGAAGCCACATTCAGGCTGGACAGTCCTGAAGACCAAGATCAATTCTATCCCCAGGTGCCAAACGCCGCAGCCCCGCACCCCACCTGCCATTAATCCCACACTAGCAAACTGGTCAGTTCCAAGATACTTCCCATGGTCAGGACAACAGAGAGACAGCAACAGCCCTTTGCAAGGATGAGCACAGGCAACTCACACGTTGGGGTGATGTAAGCTTTGTCTCCACCTCACCTCAACACCCAGGTGGTAGTACTCAGCCTCCAGGAGCTGATTCCTAAGCCTGGTCACCGCAGCTGGCTGCAGGATCTGATCCAGAGATGGGACGTGGCGATAGGCAGCAGCAACTAGAATGTTCAGCACATCCACCTTGCTGATGTAGCTACAGGGAGGAAAAGGACAAGGCAGTGAGGCTTCCTGGAGTCTTACTACGAATAGTTGTTGTTGAAAGGTTTTCAATTTGGGTTTGTTTTTGTTTTTGAGTCAAGGTCTCACTCTGTCACCCAGGTTGGAGTGCAGTGGCACAATCATGGCTCACCACAGCCTCAACCTCCTGGGCTCAGGAAGGATGACCTCCTGGGTTCAGGCATTTCTGCTATCTCAGCCTCCTGAGTAGTTGGGATTACAGGAACACGCCACCACACCTGGCTAATTTTTTTTTTTTTTTTTAAATCTCTTGTAGACACAATGTCTTACTATGTTTCCCAGGCTGGTCTTGAACTCCTGGGCTCGGGCAATCTTCCTGCCTCAGCTTCTGAAATTACAGGCATGAGCCACCATGCCCTGTATTCCATTTTCAATATGAAATGTGATCATGGGAATAGAGAGATGCACAGCAAAAGACACCACGAGTGAAGGTTTTGGAGTCATGCTCTTGGAATCCTAGCTCTAACACTTAGTAGCTCTATGACCTGGGTGAGTTCATTAACCTTTCTCTGTCTTAATTTACTAATTTGTGAAATGGATATACAGTCACATGCCACACACTGACGATTTGGTTAGTAATGGACTGCATATACGCTGGTGGTCCCATAAGATTATAATACCATATTTTTACTATACTTTTCCTATGTTTGGATGTATTTAGATACTCAAGTACCACTGTGTTCCAACTGTCTACAGTATTCGGTACAGCAATGTGCTGCACAGGTTTGCAGTCTAGGAACAACAGCTATATCGTATATCCTAGGTGTGTAATAGGCTGTGCCATCTAGGTTTGTATAAAATACCCCATGATATCTGCACAATGACAATATTGCCTAACAATGCATTTCTTAGAACATATCCCTGTCATTAGGCAGTGCATGACTGTAATAGCAGAGTTTTACAGATAAAATGAAATAACTCGAGTAAAAGGTCCTAGGATAGTGTCTGAAACTTTTCTGGCACTCATTAAATACTACATATTAACATTTGAAGTATAGATATTCGGGGCTATTTGAGGCAAGGCCTTTACGTGGAATGCTGGGGCCTTACAAGTTGTCACTTTGCTTTTTGGTCCTGTTGAACACTCCTTCATGGGAGAGAGGAAAAGGGCAAGGCAGTAAGGCTCCCTGGAGTCTTACTACAAATAGTTGTTGCTGAAAGGTTTTTGATTCTTTTTTTTTTTTGAGTTGAGGTCTCACTTTGTCGCCTAGGCTGGAGTGCAGTGGCATAATCATGGCTCACCACAGCCTCGACCTCCTGGGCTCAGGAAGGATGACTTCCTGGGTGGAATGATCACCTGAACTTGTAGTATAGGCTTCCCCCACTAGGTAAGGGTTCAGTATCGGTGGGCGGCACCCCTGGTTAGTACAGAGGTCACACCATTGCCATTCCCTGGAGATGCTGTGGGGCAGGGGCACACTGGCCCTTCATTCAGACTGTAAACTTGATAACCTCTCCCTGAGCTAAGGATGGGTCCTCATTAGAGCCTGTGAGTGCTGTCTTCTGTGATCTTACTATTGACACTGGATACTTCTAAAAACCTTCTGAAGACAAAGAGCCCAGAGGGTGGATCAGTATGTCTAGTGCTGCCTGAAACAAGCCTCTACTCAAGGTTCCTGAATCTTGTCTCAGTTCCAGCAAAAAAACTCTGTGAATCCTGACTCCCTGGAAAGGGATTCTGTATGTCAGCGATTCTTAGCAATGGAGAGATGGGTAGAAAAGCCTCAGTACCATAATATATTTGTACTTTTGGAAAATGAAAACATTTGAAATAGATGATGTGATTTTTAAAAACATTGTAATTGCTTTTTTAGAGACGAGGTCTTGCTATGTTGCTCAGGTTGGTCTTGAACTCCTGGCCTGAAGTGATCCTCCCACCTCTGCCTCCTGAGTAACTGAGATTACAAGTAATAGCCACTGTGCCCAGTTGAGTTTTGTTTTTAAACTTACATTTATTTATTTGTTTGGTTGTCTATTAGAAGGGTGAAGAGTTTAAAACAGTAGAAAAACACGCTGCAAACCAGGAGCTTTTAGCTGATTTGCATGCCAACACGCATGAGAAGTGAATCTACTCCCATTAGCAAACTGGCACAAAGGCAATGATTCTCTCCAGTGGGCATCTCTGAATACAGAGGGGAAGGGGAAGGCGTGGAGAAGAAGAATGTGTAATTGGAAGCTACCACTATAAACTGTCCCATGACACTTTGGGGTGGGTGAGAATCCTATGAAGTGATGACTTTCTTTTTGCAGTTCTCAGTCTGAAGTGAATATTTCCTCCATTAAAGGAAGTATAGGACTTGATGTAAAATTTGTTTTCCCTCCAGAGTATCTTTTTCTTTTCTCATTTACATTAGTGATATTTGGGATCTATCTGGATGTTTTTATTTCTGCCTTAAGTCTTTTTTCATGTTTCCCCTGTTTTCTACCTTTTGCTATATGGAAAGTTCTGAGTTTCCCTCCTCATTCTCCCATTCCTTTCTGATAATTTTGTAGATTTTTGGTTCTTTTCAGTTATTTAGAAAATCTCACTCAACATACATCTATTTCTTTATTCAACAACTTGAAAGAATGATGTAGAATCTATTGCCTCTTGCTATTAAAAGAGTAAAATCAGCTCCTTTTCACTTCCGCTTTCTTTCACTTCCTTCTGCTTTTCTCAATCTTCTAGTTTTTGTTAATAAAAATAATAAAAATTACTAACATTTTTGGAGTACACACATGTGCCAAGTTCAGTTTTTCGTCCTTCACATGGGCAGTCCGAATGTACCCTCATAACAGCCCTATGAGGTAAGTACTATTACTCCTATTTTTATAGAGGAGGAAACTGAGGCCCAGAGGGGTTAACAGCACTAAGAAGTAGTAAAGCTGGGATTCGCTGTGCTCTGTGCTGGCTGGTGAGTTTGTAGGCACGTACTCTGAGCAGGCATCTAAGGGAGGCACTTACCCTTCAAAGAAAAGTATGCTGCCTGCTCCCAAGTCTAATTAGGACTAAGCACTTGGGAACACAATACATGAATCATACATCGGGGTGGATAAGCAGGGAGTCAGGAGTTTTCATTGCCAAGTTAATGAATGGAGTCAAAGCAGGTAGTGCAGGAACCAGAGGGAGGTCTAATCATAACTTTTTTTTTTTTTTTACAGACACTTCAACTTTATAAACCAGATTTTTACCTTTGACACAGGGATAGACCAATCCCCAGAGTGCTTTTATAGATCCATTATCTAGAACTCACTGAGATCACAGTCCAAATTTGATCAAGATTGGGGTAGAGTTTTGTTCAAGGCTAATCACTGTACATTTAGGGAGGATACATTTTCTTTAAAAGACAGAAAGTTCCACAGAGACTAACGGTGTTTCCCTAGATTGCTTTTTTTTTTTTGAGCTGGAGTCTCACTCGGTCGCCCAGACTGGAGTGCAGTGCAGCCTCGACCTGCTGGGCTCCGGCGATCCTTCCGCCTCAGCCTTCCAAGTAGCCGGAATTACAGGCATGCGCTACCATGCCCAGCTGATTTTTTGATTTATTGTAGAGATGAGGTCTTGCTGCCCAGGCGGGTCTCGAACCCGCGGGCTCAGGCAATCTACTCACCTCAGCCTCCCAAAGGCGTGGGAATACAGGCTGAGCCACCGAGCCTGGCTAGATTGCTTTTAATTACAGATCAATCAGTCAAGTCTTTACTTTCTTTCTGACTGAGTATAGGTATGAGGGGACCGCTCCCCAAAAATACTAGGTAAGTGTTCTAGGAACCCATCGGCACCCATGCACCAGCTAGTGTTGTTGTGAGAGGCTGCATTCGGCTTCAGTGAATTTTTCTGGAGATTCTTTCAACTTGTTTGCCCATTTCATGATGGATGATTTACGATTGTACCTGCTCACACATCACTGAGTGTTTAGCAGTTTTTGACCAAAACAGCATGACCCCGTGCCCCACCCTACCTGTTTACCTGCTCTTACCCTAAGCGACTTTTTTTTTTGTTTCCTCGGATGAAAAAAGTCCTCAAAGGGAAATGTTTTGCTGATGTGGACGAGGTGAAACAAAAAACGGCAGAAGCACTAAAGAGCATCAAAATCAATGAGTTCAAAAACTGTTTTGAGCAGTAGAAAAAGCAGCTCAAAGGGTGTATTGCATCAAATGGAGAGTACTTTGAAAGTGACTGAAGTTTAGACATGTAAGAATAAATATACACTTTTTAATAAAATAAATTTCGGATTTCTTTTCCCTCCCGCCCCTTGTAGACTAAAACTCAACTTTAAGGATCCACTCTGAAGAAGAAAAGGACAGAGGCTGTGAAGGTAGGGTGAGGAAGAACAATTGTGCATTTCATCAACATCAAATTGAGATGCAAAATATTTCAGACTATCTTGTCATATATATATGAAATCACAGTGGGGTCAGAAAAAGCAGTTGGATAGAAATTGCCTCCATGTAGAAGAACATCTCCATATACCTGTCACAAAGAGCCAAGTCCTGGCTCCGGCCAGACTTGACGAACATCATCTTGGCACTGAAGAGCAGCTGCCTCATGATGTCAGTGAGCAGCCTGGCATCCACCTCTGGGTTGGTGAGGCCCTTGGACAGCCTGCAGCAGTGCTCAATCAGCTGGTGACCACAGGTGGCGCTGTCCTGGTGCAGGTTCAGGATGGCAATGCACAAGGAGGCGCTGGGGGCCTGGCCCATGTGGAAATAGGGAGAAACACACAGTGAACCCAGGGACCAACGCATTCTTCAAAAGCACCTGGACAGCAGAAACTATACTTTCCCTTTCAAAAGGCTGAAAAACTCTAGAGGAAGGAGCCAAATCCCACAGCAATGCAGAAGTGGAACTAAACACATTTCAGAAATTGTAAGTAGGGCCACGCATGGTGGCACATGCCTATAATACCAGCACTTTGGGAGGCCGAAGTGGGAGACTTGCTTTAGCCCAGGAACTCAAGATCAGTCTAGGCAACATAGCGAGACCTTGTCTCTACAAAAAGTTAAAACATTAGCCTGGCGTGGAAGCATGTGCTGGTAGTCCCTGCTGCTCAGGAGGCTGAAGGTTGAGGCTGCAGTGAGTCATGATCATGCCACTGCACTTGAGCCTGGGTGTCAGGGTTAGACCCTGATTCCAAGAAGAAAAAAAAAGTTTTAAGTACCACTACCAAGCACTGGCTGCTAGGTTTTGACATTTTCCTGGAAAGAAGATGTGGTGACATGTTACCTACTTCTTTCTTTTTTTTGAGTTGAGGTCTTACTCTGTAGCCCAGGCTGGAGTACAGTAGCATGGCCACAGCTCACTGCAGCCTCCAACTCCTGGGTTCAGGTGATTCTTTCACTTCAGCCTCTCACGTAGCTGGGACCACAGGTGCATACCACCAAGGCCCACTAATTTTGAAATATTTTTTGTAGAGACCAGGTCTTGCTATGTTACCCAGGCTTATCTTGAACTCCTGGGCTCAAGCAATCCTCCTGCCTCGGCCTCCCAAGTGCTGGGATTACAGGTGTGAGCCACCCAGCCTGGCAGTTGCCTACTTCTTGACAGCATGCATAGGTTCCCTTCATTTTCCAGTCTCTTGTCCCACCAGGGAAAGTCTTTCTAATTGCTGGCCTGGACTACAAGTTACCTAGCTCATCTGACCACCTGGACGAGTTTCTGCTTTAAGCCAGGCAGCTAAATTCACATTCCAAGCAACTTGGAAACCTTTCAGAGACCCCTGATACCTGTCAAGGAAGTATTCCTTACTGCAGAATTCAAGGCCCTGAGCATACACTCTCCTTTTCAGTCCTACCTTTCACTGCCTTTCTGATATCTATAGATTCTATGTTCCAATTCTCTAATCATATGCTGCAATTTTTGACACTGTCTTTGCTCTGATGTTTTACTTGTATAGTTTTTGGTCCTCCTTAAGCCTCACTAACCTCACAATCCCCCCTCATTTCTGCTTGCCACACTCTTTTCACTCCTCCAAGGTGCATCTTAAATGCTACCTCTTCCATGAAGCCTTTCCTGGTTTCCCATTGTGCATTTCCCAAGAGGCTCCCTATTTCCTGTCTTCACGGATTTACTTGTCTTCATTCCCAAATCATGACACTGGAAACAATGAAGGCCACACGTGTTTACCTACCTCTGTATTTCCTGCCACACTACTGCATGTCACAAAGAAACTCAAATGACCACTGTGTTTTATTGCTATTACCTGCTCATAGTAAAATTCACTCCGCACCAGCTCATTTTCTTCCTCCTTCAGATCCAAAATCCATTCCACCTCATCTGCTTTGGGGACTCTCACGACAAATGAATATGGAGGGCTTTCACTCTGCCAGTTGTCTGATGCTGAGAAGAGAATCGCCATTCATGTGTCATTCACTGGCTGGCAGTTGAGTCTAGCCTAGCTCCGTGAGCTGGTGTGAGTTGCAGGAGGACACATGCCTGCTATCTGAGGGCCCCTTTCTCTCTCCTGGATTCCTTTTATTTCCTTTAGAAGACTGCATCAAGCACTTCTAACCTTCTTCCCCAGGCATAGACTTGGGATGATCATTACAGCATCCGTCCTACAACCCCATGGCTTCACACAAGAAACCGTAAAAAGGGCATGTTTCTCAAATGGATGGCTGAGCCACTGGATCCTTTAAAAGCTCACCTGCTGTGGAAGGATAGAGGCCAAGGTGTTAGCTAGGGGTAGGGAGGGGCCACTGGGAGGCAGGATGGTGGTAAAAGGAAACCAAGAGGAAAAAAATGACCTACTAAAAGTTAGGGACTAAATCCTGGGGTTGCTGGCCTTCTCAATGCTAGAAGCTAACGGGTCAGTAGGGTGGGTTCCTGTGATGAACTTCAGGGGAAGTGGGATAATGGAAATGCCAAGAATTTTCTTTGGCAACAAGTTAGATAGAGTTGCCATTGGGTGTTATCAGTTACAGTTGATACACTGAAGATACTATCAACTTGAGCGAATAAACAGCCACAGAGAACGTGACTCAGCCTTACCTTTGGGTTGTCCTGGATTCTCCTCCGGTGCACTGGAAACAGAGGGGAAAAAATTAAATGCCTGGATTACTTTTTTTTTTTTTAAAGATGGTATCTCACTATGTTGCCCAGGTTGGTTTTGAACTCCTGGCCTCAAGTGATCCTTTCACCTAGACCTCCGGAGTAGCTGGGATTATAGTGCGAGCTACCATGCCTGGCCTGAATCAATTTCTCTCTTCTTTGTGTTGAGTTTAGCATATAGCAGCTAAACATTTTTAAAAAAACTGCCACTCAAGTAAGATATCAGAGGCTCATCCACAACTCTTTCCTCTCCCTCACCCATCACAGCCAATCACTTCCTATGTCCTGTCCATTCCATCTCCTAAACACCCCTTTAAATGTCCCCACCTCTCTTCACCCCTGTCCCAGTGAGAGCCCTCATCATTTATTGTTAGAGTACGTGATGGCTTCCCAATTGTTCTCCTTAATTATGTCAAAATATTCTCCACTTTGTAGCTAAAGCAAACTTTGAAGAAAGCAAATCTGCCAACATTATGCTCTTACTTAAAATTCCATAGCTCCTCAGGGTAAAAATATCCCACATTCGCAGTTCAGCAGTCAGAGCCCCTTTATGACTTAGCCTATGAATCTCTTGAGGGCAACTCTTGCCACCCATGACCTGTGCTCAAGCCATGGAAAGGCTCTCCCTGCTCTTCAAATGGCCCTGGTCAACTTTGACTGGTGCCACCAAGCACTAAGTCCCAGTGCCACAAGCCAGAGCCCAAGTCTATTATCTGCATGAGGTGCCCACTGGTCAACCCCAGCTCAACACCAGAAAGCAAGTTCAAGGCTTTGTACCGTTGCCTAAGTCCTCCAGCTCAGCTATGAGCTGTTAAATCTGGGGTACCCTAGCCAGAGCCCCAGCCCATCACTTACCTACTTACAGTTCCTCAAAAGATTCACATTTTCTCCTGTCCCTGTCTTTGCAGTTACTACTCCCTTCTTGGGGAATACTGTTTTTTGGCATCTTTTTCTACTAGGTCCTCATCCTCTAAGGGTCTCCTCTAGGAAAGCCTTCTGACCATCTGAGTTAAGCTGTGTGTGCCTCCACCAATGTTCTTATCTAGCAATCTTGTGGTCTATTTGCTAGCTGTTTCCCCATTAAAATGTGGGCAAAACTATTGAATGAAAGAATCCCCTCAATACTAACTACCCATTTCAAATCTCAGCAGTATAGTGTATGGGTAATTCCTGTCCCCGGCCTCAAGGGGGGGAGGCAGTGGCGTGCCAAAGTCCCAGAAACTGTAGGATAACCGTGATATGCCTTCCTTCTTATGAGATCAGTAATTATCCTCGTAAATAATGACCAAAACTGTTCATATTAGGACAAACACAAACATGTGATTGAGCAGAATAGGAAATCTACATAAGTCTATACATAAAACATGGAGAATTCAAAGTGACTTTGCTTTGGAATAGTTGCTTTCACCCATATTCCCAGATGCTCTAAGATCTTGCCTTGGTTTCATGCTCCTTTGCTGCTAGCAGTAGTGGAAAAAATTAAGCAACATGGAGCCAGCAAACACAGGCTTGATCCATCTTGCCAGAGGAATGAGCAGTTGTTGAGATTTGTCACAGGTGAACTGTGTGTAGGAAAGCGTGGGGGCTCTTCTAATTGTGGGTAACAAGCTTAGATGACTACCTAGAGCAGGGCTGAGGCAAGTGATGCCAGGCACTCAGCAGGTGTGAACATGTCCCCCAGAGTCCAGCTGAGACCAACTGAAGCAACAGTGGCTGGAAAATGGGTGAGTCGGTGAACCAAGGTTAATGGCCTCAGTTGGGGAAGGGCTGAAGGAACAAGTGTCCTGATTTCAGAGAGCACATTATATAAGAACCTTGAATGCCACTTCATCTCATTCCTACTTCCTCTCTTACTAGTTTCTCTGACCAAGGTCAGTCTATAAATATATCTGACATTGTCGGGTCCATGGCATTTCAATGTGAATGTTATATTAAGCGTTTTTTAAAAAATGTATTTTATGGCTTGGTAGTGCACACCTGTAGTTCTGGCTACTTAGAAGGCTGAGGTGGAAGGATAGCCAGAGCCCAGCAGGTCAAGTGAGTGTGCCACTGCACTCCAGCCTGGGCGACAGAGTGAGACTCCAACTCAAAAAAAATGTATTTTATTTTTCTTTTCATTCGGGGTCTCATTCTGTTGCCCAGGCTAGAGGGCAGTGGCATGATCATGGCTCACCATAGCAATGACCTTCTGGGCTCAGGTGATCCTTCCACCTCAGCCTACCAAGTAGCTGAGACTATAGGCATGTGTCACCACACTGTTAATTTTTTGGATATATTTTTGTAGAGACAAGGTCTGACTGTGTTGCCCAGGCCTGTCTCAAACTCCCAAAGTGCTGGGATTACAGGTGTGAGTCACTGTGCCTGAACAATATAAACATTTTGTGAGTGGTCCAGATTTGAAATCTTTCCATAACAAGATTCCTAGGAGAGTAAGGACATGGGGAAGAGTGTCATGGTCAATCACAGCACCAGCCCCGCTGTAGGACACTCACTCTTTGTTGTAGTAACTATAGCACTGGTCACACACGCGTGCAGGGTTCTCTCTGCAACCTTCCACCACCATCTTCTTAGAGGAACAGGAGCTGCACACCAGCCGGCCACAGCGGCGACAGTGATGGCGCCGGTTAAACTGAGGAATGGAGGGAGAGAAGGGGGGCTGTTATCAATCCACTTGTATTTGGTACTATTTACCTGTGACTTACTTATTCAGAATACCGGTGGCCAAGTGCAGTGGTTCATGCCTGCAATCCCAGCACTTTGGGAGGCTGAGGCAGGAGGACTGCTTGAGACCATGAGTTTGAGACCAGCCTGGGCAACATAGTGAGATCTTGTCTCTACAACAAAACAATGAAATGTCTCAGCTGATAGGCAAAGGTGCCAGGTCATGGGCAGTTTTCCAATAGAGTCTGCCAAGTTCTACTTGTGTGTGGAGGTAAAGATGTGGAGACACAACAAAAAGCAGTGGGAAAGAAGTGAGGATCACATTTCTACATGGTATTGGTGATGATAAAGAAAAAGTATTCTTTTTCAAAAAGCCTTTTTTCTTTTTTGAGTCAGAGTCTCACTCTGTTGCCCAGGCTGGAGTCAGTGGTGTGATCACGGCTTACCCCAGTCTCAACCTCTTACCCTCAGGCAATCCTTCCGCCTCAACAACCTGAGTGGCTGGGACAACAGGCACATGCCACCATGCCTGGTTAACTTTTTGATTTTTTGTAGAGATGAGGTTTTACTATGTTGCCCAGGCTAGTCTAGAACTTCTGGGTTCAAGCAATCCTCCTGCCTTGGCCTCCCAAAGTGCTAAGATTGTAGGCATGAGCCATCATGGCTGGCCTCAAAATGCCTTTAACGTACAGTCTCATTTCTTTAGAAGAGGGTGATAGGAATGCTGCACCTCTTTTTATAGATGAGGAGAAAACAGACACAGAGAAATTATATCACTATCATTTTCATCAGCACTGAGCTGATGAGCCAGGCAGGTACTGTGTTAAGTATGGGTGCCATATGTTATCATATTTAGTTCTAACAGCTCCAAGAGCCAAATAATATATCATTCTTAGTTTACAATTGGGCACATGAGACTGAAAGTGTTAGTAGCCACGTTGTTAGAGCCAGGATGAGAACCCAGGTCCTCTGTCTCCCAAGCGAGCATATATAACTGCTGCCAGGTTACCTGTCATATTGTGAAGAACACGGAAGCTAGAAACAAGATTCCCCCAAAGCTTGGTGACTCCTCCTCCCTCTCTTTCATTATTTCATGAGAATGGCAAAGCTTTTAGGACTTAAGGCTATCTGAGGGTATCTATGATCTGTCTGAATTCAGAAAACACATTCTGGCCAGGTCAAAGATAAATGCAGTCTTAGGTTTGACAGTTCTTCTGAAAAATGCCAATATTCCCTTGGGGGCAGGAAGTGACAATAAACCCAGGCTCATAAACTAGAATTTTCCTTTACTTTCTCACTGCAGGTGAGAGTGGCACCGACGCTGCTCACCATGGTGAAGTGCTCCCTGCAGCAGACCATGCAGATGCTCTCCGTCTCATCTGGTACCCACTGGTGCCTGGCAGGGGGTGTTGCTGGGGGCACGAATTCGAGTGGGGTCTGACTCGGTGGGAAACTCTCTCTTGGAATGGGGGAATGTACAATGGAGACACCTGGGAGCCAGAGCCAGAGGTCAGAATAAAAGGTGATCAATATGCCAGCTTATAAGAGGGAATGACAGAATTGTATCATCTTACAAACCCTTATTGGAATAATACATACAGCTAATGACCATCAGTGGCTATTTGTGTCATACAAAAGAGGCAAGCAGACATTGTGTGCCTCCTGATGGAACTCTACAACAGCAACTTTCAAGTATACTTACCAAAAGATAGTAAGCCTGAATCACATCTAGCTTCTAGATCTAAATACCAGCATACCGGAAATTCAGGGGACAAATTGCCATAGGGAGACGATCAGTATAATCCAGCATATAGGTAGCTTCATGGAACAAATGACCTAGTTTCCTTAACAAATAAAAAAGAGGTAGGGGCCAGCCTGGCCATCATGGTGAGACCGTGGCTCTACAAAAAAAAATGAAAAAACTTAGCAGGCTGTGGTGGTAGGTACCTGTCCTAGCTACTCGGGAGGCTGAGGTTGGGGGAATCTCCTGAGCCCAGAAGTTTGAGGCTGTGATCATGCCGCTGCACTCCAGTCTGGGTGAAAAAGTGAGACCCTGACTAAGAAAAAAAAAAAAAGCAGTAGGGGGAATAATAAAGAAAAGAGGTAGGGAACCTATTGATTAAAAGAGATTGAAAAGATATTTTAGCCAAATTCTATGTGTAGACATTATTTAGGTCTTGAGTCTAGAAAAAACAACTATTAGAAATCTTTATGAGATAACCAGGGCCATTTGAATATGGGTTTAATATTTGATAATAATAAGGAATCATTGTTAATTTGTTTCTAGGTATGATAATGGTGTTATAGTTTTGCTTTATAAAAGTACTTACCTTTTGGAGATTTATACTAAAATATTTATAAATGAAATGATGTGATATCTAGGATTTGCTTCAAAATAATCCAGTAGAAGAGTGTAGGAAGAGAGATGAAACAAGAATCGACATAATTATTGCAGCTGGGGAATGGGAATGTGAGATTTCATTATACTACTCTCTCTTTAGCGTGTGCAAATTTTCCAAAATAAAAAGCTAATACACACACATGTATGCACATAGACATATGTCTATATGCACCAGAGCAGTTCAGGCTGCCCTTTGCAGAGACATGTGGCTGCTCACACACCTGCAGTCTGAGCCCTCCCTCAGCTCTGCTGGTTATCATGAAGCATGATTCATTTTCAAAGTATGGCTGGAAAATGCCACAGTCTGCACAGTCTCTAAGAACATGCCCAGTATCTAAGGAGATGTCTTGTCACCTAGCAGAGCAATAGTGTCACAGAAAAGAGAATTGTAAAACAATCTAACTCATAGTAGCATCCAGAAGAAAACTCCTTAGAATCCTACGCCCCTGATTTTTTGGCAAACAAAACACTCAGCTGCCTGGGTGTGGTGACCCATTCCTGTAATCCCAGCATTTTGGGAGGCTGAGGCATCAGGATTGCTTGAGCCCAGGTATTCAAGAACAGCTTGGGCAACATGGCACAACCTGGTTTCTACAAAAACATTAAAAAATTAGCCCAGTGTGGTAGTTTGCGAGGCTGGGGCAGGAGCACATCTAAGCCCAGGTCAAGGCTGTGGTGAGATCTGATTGTGCCAGCACACTCCAACATGGGAATGGGAATGTGACTCAAAAAACCAACCAACAAACAAACCCCCAAAACACACTGAGCTGAATTTCTTCAAGAGCAGTCATTGTATGGGGCCAGAGAAGGGGGAGGGGAGGCTGGTAAATAGGGTAACTAAGGCATGGCTGAGGCCTTCCATGAGCTTGCATCCTGTGTGGGTGACAGCATGAATTTGAGGACTAAATACAGTCCATCTTCATTATTAGCAGATTCCATATTTGTGAATTTGCCTATTTACCAACATTTATTTGCAACTTTAAAACCAACACTCGTCCTACTTTCGCAGTCATTTGCCAACAAGTTCAGAGTCCTGAAGGTTTTGAGGCACCCTAAGAACTAAGGTTCTTAGCTGAGGTTGTTACAGACTTCATACAGTGGTGACCAGAGGATGGAGATGGCAGGGGACACGGTGGGGTATCACAAGACACTCAGTGCTGGGGCCAGCTGGATGGGGTTTGAGTCCTAGGTCTGGTCCTATTAGTGGGGTGGCCTCAGGCAAGTCACTTAACACTTCTGAATCTTTTTCTCTTTTGAAAAATAAGGAAAATAGAATTGACCAGGTTAAGTTGTTTTTAGCATTTTAGACTATAATCTATAAGGAGCAACCCCCCAAAAACCTGGAATTTATTTTTAAAAATTGGGTATTTATTCTTACATGTGTAAACTTCAAAGTACTCTCCATTTTATGCAATACACCCATCAAGACACTTTTCCCACTGCTCAAAACAGTTTTTGAACTTGTCAATTTTAATGCCTTTTAGTGCTTCTGCTGTGTTTTGTTTCACCTCTTCCACATCAGCAAAACGTCTCTCTTTCAGGACTTTTTCCATTCCAGGAAACAAAAAAAGTCTCTTGGGGGTGAGATCAGGTGAACACGGAGGGTGGGACACAAGGATCATGCTGTTTTTGGTCAAAAACTGCATAACATTCTGCGTGGTGTGGGTAGGTATACTTGTAAATCACTCATCATGAAATGGGCAAACACGTTGAAAGAATCTTTCCCCCCAAAAAATTCACTGAAGTTGAATACAGCCCCTCATAACAATGCTAGCAGTTACACTGATGCCAATGGAGAAGACTATATGACACTGGGCCCACACTCCAAAAAAATAATTCCAGATTTTTTTGGGTCCCTCTTTGTACTTGAGATATGTATACACACACGTACATGCTTCCCCTAGGAGCAAGGGTTCAGGATTCGCTAATTCAGTGTTTGTGGAGACTATATAGACATACTGCCGTTAAAAAAAAGAATTGACTGTATGTTGAATCTTTTGGTATATATAAAGCTGGAATGAACAACAATAACAAAAGAAAACAATAATGTCATAATAAGAAATAAAGAAAGAGACAAAAAAATCAGATTGTCAGACTAAGGCAAGCTTGAACTGAAACATTTTGGTGAGTAGTCAAAAACAGTTCTTACCAGGAGTAGTAGCAGGTGAGAACTCTGCTGACGGTGATCTAGAGAGGGTTTCGGGGTCTGAAGACTGGTGGGCAATTTCCTGGAGGTGAATCACAGAATCTGTAGAGAGGGAAAATGCTGCCAAAATATCATTCTGCCATAAGCATCTTTATTCGCCACCCTAGACTTTGAGTTCAAATCTCTGCTGGTTTCACGGATGGTCATTCCATGACTCTACTATGTATAAAGAGCACGCATGCTTCTTTCTTTTTTTTTTTTTGAGTTGGAGTCTCACTCGGTCGCCCAGACTGGAGTGCAGTGGCTGCTCCCGGCCACCGCAGCCTCGAACTGCTGGGCTCCAGCGATCCTTCCGCCTCAGCCTTCCAAATAGCTGGAATTACAGGCATGTGCTACCACGCCCGGCTGATTTTTTGATTTATTGTAAAGATGAGGTCTCGCTGCCCAAGCGGGCCTCGAACCCGTGGGCTCAGGCAATCCACTCACTTCAGCCTCCCAAAGGTGCGGGATTACAGGCTGAGCCACCGAGCCCGGCTATGCATGTTTCTTAAACTCCTCAAAAAACAAACGGTGTTGAGGCTCATGAGGTACTGAGGCAGATGCTAGGATTCTACAAAATGAATCTAAAAATGCTCAGGGCAAAGCAGAAGATATTTAAATGATGCCCCTGGAGGAAAGGGAGTGAGAAAACAGAGCTGGCTGGAACATCAGTTCATACTTATATCATTTTCCTCATGATAGAAGAGGCTGAGTCAGCTCCCGCACAAGTGATATGATCCTGGTACTACAGCATATTCTTGAAGCAAAATGATGGCACTTAATAGGCACCACCTCAAGGCCAGACAGAGTCTATCTCCAGGATACTTGTTTCCCAAATCTTGCTGTTATTATGCATGCAGTGGTTATCTCCTATTCTTCAATTCTGATTGGTCTTTTACTTCCTCCAAGATCAAGATCTCCCTTATATATTAAAGCACTGTCTCTTCTGAAGTATATTTTGCTCAATCTTGATCAACCCAACATAAAGGAGAAAATGAAAGCTGAGAATGTAGCCTGGTGTTTCTTCCTCCTTGTAGAATCCCTGCCTAGGATGTTGGTAGTTACCTGATCGCTTCTCCCTCTGAGAGTATGGGAAGTCCAGGGCTTTCCCTGCATATCTGGAGAGCAGTGAGTCCACGTCGTTCATGGTGAAGCCAGTCTCCTGTCCAGCCAGTAACTGGTGCAGTGTCTGCACAGCCACAGTGGCCCAGTCCACCTTCATGTTCATTAGCAGCTGCTCCAGCATGAGCAGGGGGTTAGAGGACAAGTGGGAATAGCTGGCCCTGTGCTGCTCAGGCAGGGTGAGCAAAACCTGTTTGTGGGCAGATCCAGAGAGCAAAGAAAAATAAAACAGTACACACATTTCTTTCTTTCTTTTTTTTTGAGTCGGAGTCTCACTCTGTCACCCAGGCTAGAGTGCAGTGGCATGCTCACAGTCACTGCAGCCACGACCTGCTGGGTTCAGGTGATCCTTCCGATTCAGCCTTCCAAGTGGCTGGAACTACAGGCATGTGCCACCACGCCTGGTTAATTTTTTGATATATTGTAGAGACGAGGTCTTGCCAAGTTGCCCAGGCTGGTCTTGAACCTGTAGGCTCAGGCAATCCTCTCACCTCCGCCTCTCAAAGTGCTGGGATTACAGGCGTGAGCCACTGGGCCTGGCTAGTACACACATTTCAGAAGACACTTGAGATTCTCACCTGGTAGGAGAAGGATGCCAGAGACCAAAAGGTCTGTGGCCAACTACCAAAACTGGCTTGCAGTCTTCGAGGAAGCAAGGCTGAACTCCCCTCTAAATTCTCCGGGTGGCAATTGAGATGTACTCCAAGTACCTTTCAGCTGGATGAGGGGTCGGTAAACTTTTTCTAAAAAGGATCAGAGAATGGCCGGGCACAGTGGCTCATGCCTCTAATCCCAGCATTTTGGCAGGCCAAGGCAGGAGGATTGCTTAAGGTTAGCAGCTCAAGACTAGCCTGGATAACCATAAAAAATTAGCCTGACATAGTACTCAAGAGGCTGAGGCAGGACTGCTTGAGTCCAGGAGTTTGAGGCTGTAGTGAGCTATGATTGCACCACTGCACTCCAGTCTAGGTGACAGAATGAGATCCCGTCAAAAAAAAAAAAAGAGAGCAAATATCTTAGACCTGATGGTCCCTAAAGTCTCTGCCTCAGCCATTCAGCTTCACCAGTGCAGCTTGAAAGCAGTCATAGGTAAATATGTAAATGATGGACGCACCTGTGTTCCAATAAAACTTGATTTCTAAAAGTGGCTGTGGCCTGAATTCGGTACACACGCAGGAGCCTGCTGACGACTGGCCTAAGCTCTTTCAGCACGGCTGAGCTTGCTTGACCCTTACTGCCACCATTCTGTCAACTTGAGCCTTTACTCAGAGTGAGCAATGCAAGGTGATCTCAATGGACTGATGGAGCCTGGCACCTCCTGTATTCCACAGGTAAATGACCAATCTACACTCCCTTTAGAGGCCATGATCACTAGGCGTGACTATGGTCCCTGGCTCTGTTCCCTCCCACTTTTGAAGGCTCCCCCATTTAGGTTCAGTGCACTGGGTGTATCTTCTTTCAGAACATGTTATGTAGATTAACTTTTAGCAAGTGGACCAGAGGCTATATTCGCGGCTCTTCTAGCGCTTGTCCTTTGTAGAGCAGTAGATAGGACTGCCAAGCAGAATAGTGAGAAGAGTGCCAGAAGGCTCCATCTCTCCCCAAACTTTCTTGCTCTGGATTTCTTTTTCAGCTGACAATTTCTTCTATTAGTGTCTCCAAGGTTATACATCAAAGATAAGAATCTATTATCTCATCTAATTACTTAGAAAATTAACCCTCTTCCTAAATTATTAAACTAGCACAGATTAGTATAAATGCTCATCAGAATTCCTTTGGAAGATATCGAGTCCCTATCCAAGACCAGATTTTTAAACAAGTTTTTTGAGTTGGGGGTCGCACTATGTCACCTAGGTTGGAATGCAGCACCATGATCATGGCTCACCACAGCCTCAACTTCCTGAGCTCAATCAACCCTTCCTTCTCCATCTCTCAAGTAGCTGGGACGACAAGCACATCCCACCATGCCTGACTAATTCTTTTTTTTTTTTTAATGTTTTTGTAGAGATGAGGTCTCACTATATTGCCCAGGCTGGTCTCGAACTCCTGGGCTCAGGCAATCCTCCTGCCTCAGCCTTGCAAAGTGCTGGGATTATAGGTGTGAGCTACCACACATGGTCCCAAGACTAGTTTTAATTGATCTGTGGTGGAGGTCAGCTATTGGTATTTTTAAAATTATATATATTTTTTTATTTTAAAATTGTGGGGTACAATTAAGGGTTAGGTATACAAATATTCATTGTGCACTATGGGTATTTTTTAATTTTAATTGTAATTTCAGGTGGTCAGAAAGGAGCAGTGACACAACAGATGCCATGGAAATCAGGAAGACGACTTAAGAGGACCACGTAGAATTCCCGAGGGAGGCAGGGCAGGGAGAGCATGATGATCTGAGGAGACTCAACTAGGATATGGTGGGCTGCTGGGGTAAAGACTTCATGTAGCACAGGTCAGGGATGGTCAGTACTGGCTGATACTGGCCAGTACTCAGCCACTAGAAGGTAAGTCCCTAAGGGGGAGCTAGGCCCGCAGTCTCTCCCTCACGCTTGCCTTCCCAACACCCCTTTTCTTTCTTACCTTGGACCCCACATACAGCGCCTGGATTTCTCGGTGTCGGACAGCAGTCAGTTGTCCATAGAAACGGGTGGTGAGGTAGTTGGCCAAGAAGTGAGACGTGGCCAAGCAAGCATGTTGGTCAAGGGACTGCTCTGTGACTTCAAGGCACATAGTAGGGTCGGGGATTCTCTGCAGGAGCTGTTGCAGAGGGGAGAGGAGGAAGTGAGGCTGGCAGAAGAACTCTTAGGCCAGCCTTGCTTAGTCTGAGGAAGGAATATTAAAGTTTGTTCATTTCGGACTAACCCTTTCTCTATACTCATTTTCCACCACGTCTGTAGCTTCACAAATGCCATGGCTTTGATAGGACCAGGGTTCAGCAGAATCTTGGAGCCAGCTGCCCCACAGGCACCTAGTGCAGGGCTGGGCACCTTCTGCTCAGGATGACTATAACTAACTCCCGAGGGACATGACGGTGCAGATCTGAGACTGCACAGGACTCAGCAGGGAAAAAAGCCATCTGACCTGACCAACCTTGTCCCTCTCCAAAAGAAAAATGGGAAGAATATAGAGGCTTACCTGCAGAGCCTTTTCATGGTCTCTTCTTTCTAGAAGATGGAGAAGATGTTTTTGATGTAGGCTGATTAAATGTTCTCTTGGAATAGGGTACAGGCAGCCCCACTCCTCACACAGCCCATAATCCTGGAAAGAAACACACATGTCCTCAATTCCTGTAAATTACTGGCCTTGTCACTCATCCAGCTTTTGCCTGACTTTGCTCAGCAGGCTTGAGCCCGCTAAGTCCTAGAAACACTGGTAAGTGCTTGTGGGAACTTCACTATGGAATTAAGGTGAGATCATAAACTCAGAAGACTAGAGTGGCAAGGTAAGTTAAGAAAATGACTGAAGCAGGCTTACTGTTAAAGTCATTTTCCTTTCAGTTCTACTATAAAAAAGAAGAGCAGATGACATGCAGCAACTGACACTTAGGGTCAGCCCTGGGGAAATATGAAGGAAGTGGTAACAATTGGGAAGACTGTTCAAAGGAGGTAGCACTTACCCAGCTCTGACTGTTGCCATATGAATGGGCAGGTTGGACGTTGTCAGACTTTTATAAGTTAAAAAAAATTTTCTTAATTGTATAATTTTCCTATTTAAAAATGTTGGCAAGGAAGTCAATATGAAAAAGTAAAGGGCCAGGCATGGTGGCTCATACCTATAATCCCAGCATTTTGGGAGGTTGAGGTAGGAGGATCACTTGAGGCCAACAGTTCGAGACCAGCCTGGGTAACACAGGGAGACCCTATCTCTGTAAAAAATAAAAAATCAGGTGGGTATGGTAGCGTACCCTGTAGTACAACTACTTGGGAGGCAGAGGCAGGAGGAAAGCCTAAGCCCAGGAGACTGAGACTGTAGTTAGCCTGATTGTGCCACGGCACTTGGGAGACAGAGTCTGACTCAAAACAAACAAAAAGACAAAGAAAAAAATATTCCTTCTTTGGGTAAAATAACCTCCCATTCTAGTTGGTTGGGTGTGGTGGCTCATGCCTGTAATCCAATTTTGGACGGCCAAGGTGGGAGGATCGCTTGAGCCCAGGAGTTCAAGACCAGACTAGACAACATAGCGAAACCTCGTCTCTACTTAAAAAAAAAAAAAAAAAAGAGAAGAAAAAGTAAAAATTCTGCAGACCAATAATGCAAGGGTCAAGCAAACATGCTGGTGGTTGGATTTCACCCATCCTCCCTCTCACTGCCCCCCAACCCGAATTGGTGAACTGTGGATGAAGTTTCAGAGAATGTAATTCCCAGGTCTTTGTCCAAATATTCCCACAGGATGGTACCTGGAATGCCCTGCCCACAACTCTGCCGGGCTGCCTTCTTCAGGATGCTTCCTTGTTTCTCAGGCAATATTAGGCACCCTGTGTGTTCTCGCAACCTGGGCTTACTTCTGTCACTTGATATATTAGGCTGCTGTCACCTAGGGATGCATCTCACATCACCCCCCTCCCCAAAATGTGAGCTGTTCCAGGACAAGGATTAAGATTAACTATCTTTGTTTCACCACCATCTAGAGACAGTGACTGGCAAAAACAGGCATGCAATAAATGTTTCCTGAATGAATGAATGAGTATCTTCATTTTGAACTATGGTATATCTGCTTCTTAAAAGGTAGATAGGCCAGGCATAATGGCTCATGTCTGTAATTGCAGCACTTTGAGAGGCTGAGACAGGAGAATTGCTTGAGGCCAGGAGCTCAAGACCAGCCTGGACAACACAGTGAGACACTGTCTCTACAAAAAATAATTTAAAAACATTAGCTGGGCGTGGTGGCATGCACCTGTAGTTTCAATTACTTGGTAGAGGTATTGCTTGAGCCCAGGGGTTAGAGGTTGCAGTGATCACACCACTGCACTCAGCCTGGGTGACAAAGCAAGACTTTGTGTCTAAAAAAAACAAAGAAAAAAAGAAAAAAAGAAATGAAAGGAAAATAAAACTCTATATAGTGCTCAAATGACCAATAAACACATGAAAAGACATTCACATTCTTTAGTAATCATGGAAATGTAAATTAAAACAATGAAAAGATACCATCCTATAGCAAAAAGTAAAAAGTTGAACAATATACAAAGTTGGTGAGGTTATGGAGCAATGGGAACTGTGAACAGGAATATAATGGTGACAGCCCATTTGAAGAGCAATTTGGTAACATCCCAGTAAAGGTGAGGACACTTGTGCCCAATGACTCAGCAATTCCACTTCTAGGCATACATTCCGAACCTAGTGTACACATGTAGAAAACCTCACCTAGGAACACAAGAGTGAGAGTACAAAGGTGCTGATTGTATTATTCTCTATACTTACTGCATGTCGACAAATTTCACAATAAAAATTGTGAAAAAATATAAGAAAAAAGTATGTGGTGTGGATGTGAAAGAAATGTGGACATTGATATATAAAACGTTGTCTACACGACCAGGTAAGGAGTTGCAACCTGAATGGCAGATGAAGGGGGATATCAACCAGGAAAGTGGTACCTGTGCTTCTAGAATCAGGTTCATGACCATTGATGGTTCCTCAACACAGCAGCTCCTCAGGGTCTGCCAGTCACACCACACTGGGGGATCCTGCAAACCCAGAATCTAAGGAGAGAGAGAAAAATCCATCAAATCACGCTGTAGTTCTCCTTCCCCGAACAAGTTGTTGGGATGTCCAGGGATGGCCATCCCTAGATCTCTGCCCCAAAGTCAAGCTGTCAGAAACTGCCAGAGAGGGGAAAAAGAGAGCAAATGGGGCAGAGATTATTTAGACAGAAGAATGATCCTATCCAGGAAATACAATCAGGGAGCAATGGCTGAAAGGGATTCCAGGATTGGGGCTTCCCATGGCAAGGACGATCCTCAGAGGCTCCGATGCTTCACATGTTGTTTAGCTTTCTGGGGTCCCATGAGCCTCTATCTCAGAACTCCACCCCAGAGCGTCTTCTGGCTTGAATGCTCTGTGGGGTCAACTGTCATGTAGGATTTTAGCACTACATGAAAACTACTGAGGAAGAATGAAAAAAAAACCACAAAAACCCTTTGAATCTACCGTTTTCACTTTCCCTGGTGGGCTCTGGACTCTGTTCTGTTCCAAGGATATGTGGGAAAATTAGTACGTTTTATACTTGTTGTATAGCTGTGCCTCCTAAATTGGTCTCCCTAAGCCTCCTGAGCTTCAATATAACACATCCCACAAGAATCTTCTACTTTTGAAATTGGCACTTTCATGCATTCTTGCAAAATGGCTCTTGAAATTTAGCTGAAATTTAAAACAATCTTTTTTTTTAAGACAGGCTCTCACTCTGTCACCCAGGCTGGAGTGCAGTGGTATGATCATGGCTTATCATGGTCTTGACCTCCAGAGCTCAGGTGATCCACCTGCTTTAACCTCCTGAGTAGTAAGGACTACGGGCATGTACTGCTGCACCTGGTTAATTTTTTCCTAAATTTTCTGTAGAGATAAGATCTTGCTATGTTGCCCAGGCTGGCCTTGAAATCTTGAACTCCTGGGCTCAAATGATCCTCCTGCCTCGGCCTCCCAAAGTGCTGGGATTGCAGGCATAAGCCACCATGCCTGGCCTAAAACAATCTTTATAAAAGATACAATATACAAAAACATACACAAAGCTCAAATAGATATCTGAAAAAGTCTTTATAGACTGTAAAGTATCATTCTAATGTTAACGTTGTTATTTTTACCTTCCCTCGATGCAAAGCTTTTAAAATTATAGGAGTAACTATACAGAAACCAGATAGGAGGCCTCCTGGCTGCTCCCCTAAGAACAGAAGCCAGATGCAGAGCAAAACTCAAGTTTTCATTTCTATTTTTTAAGATTCTCCATCACATGAGAACCAGCAGGAGTTGGCCATAGGGTGAGACACCTGTTTTCTTTCTCTTGTGCTAGGGCCATACCTTCTGGTATACATGCAGCTCTGCCAGCTTCCTCTGCAGCTCACCCTGCAGGCCTTCTGGGATGGCCATGTCTGAAATGCAGTAGGCCAGGATCTCCAGACACGACTCCAGGGGCCACCTATCCACAAATCGTAGGGCCAGCCGACTTCTCAGAGATGCATCCTTCATAGGGAACAGGTACTGCCAACCTTCCTTGTCTATAAGATAAAAAAGACCCCAGTGGCAGCAAGTCTGGTACCTGAAGAGCACCTAAAGAAGAAGGAAGGAGAAGGAGGGAGGGAGGGAGGGAGGAAGAGAGAAAGGAGAGAGGGAGGGAGAAATGTAGGAAGAAGAAAGGAGGGACAGAGGGAGGGAGGGAGGAAGGAGAGAAGGAAAGAGGGAGGGAGAAAGAAAAAGGAAGGAGGGAGGGAAGGAAGGGAAGGAGGGGGAAGGAAGGAAGAAAAGAGGGAGGAGGAAGGAAGTGAGGAAGGAAGGAGGGAGGGAGAGAGGAAGGGAGGGAAGGAAGGAAGGAGAGAGGGAGGAAGGGAGGAAGGAGAGAGGGGGGAGAAAGGAGGAACAGAGGGAGAGAGGAAGGAAGAAGAGAAGGAAAGAGAGGGAGGGAGGAAGAACAAAGGAAGGAGGGAGGGAAGGAAGGAGAAAGGAAGAAAAGAGGAAGGGAGGGAAGGAAGGAAAGAAGGAAAGAGGGAGGGAGGAAGGAAGGGAGGAAGAAAAAAGGAAGGAGGGAGGGAAGAAGGGGGAAGGAAGGGGAGGGAGAAAGGGAGGGAGGAAGGAAGGACAGAAGAAGAGATGATGCTCTCTGTTTTGGCCTGCTGCACGTATGACATTGTTTCAGACTCACTTTGTCAGTGGAACTTTAGTTTTCCCTGAATTTCCACACATAACTACTTGAAAGCTATTTTAGGCAAACTAGTTTCACTTCCTGGATATTCTGTCATCATGATTTAGCAGCTCTCTCTCTTCCACACCCACCTCACAGATCTGATCTTGGAGATATAAAAACCAGACTCGAAGCAATCAAGACCACACATTAGGTTTCTCTACCTTCCCAAGGATAGATATTTTTCCTTTCTGAAGGGCAGTCAAGCCTCCTGCCCAAAAGTCACCCCTTACAGTACACCAGTGCTTTTTCTCCCTAATGGAGTGTTGTAGCTCATTGGCTTTCTACTCTGGTGACCATCAACATTTCCTGGTGAGGGGTTGTCAGATAGACCCACAACCTGCTTTTATAATAAAGTTTTATTAGAACACAGCCATGTTCATTCCTTCAGGTATTGACTATGGCTGCTTTCATGCTGTAATGGCAGAGCTGAGTAGTTATGGTGAGACCATATGGCCTATAAAGTTTTTTACAGAAAAAGTTCGCCGAACTTTGTTTTAAAGAGAACACTTGCCTGAACCCCATCTGGCCTTTGAGGGAGGGGCTCAGATATTTGTAGTTTATAGAATTTAACAATGTTGTGATATGAACAATTGAGAATACTGATTATTAAGTAAGAGTGCCTATCCTAAAGCCAGACAGACTTGGGTTCTTAGTTCTGCTTCACTATTTCCCTCTCTGGGCAAATTTCCTATTCTCTCTGAGCTCAGTCTCCTCTCAATAACATGAGATTATGATGGGACTATTCCCTAGAGTTAGTGTGAGGATTAAATGTAATGAGACACTGTGTGAACGCTACATATTACCACTAGGGGAAGAGGGAGGCATGGCTTTCTGCTCACCACATGCCGCAGCGCAGCTCAGGATTGCATCCTTGATGCTACTCAGATCGTCCACATCCCGCCCGAACACTTCAGTGATTTGAAGGGCTCGGGACCAATTTTTGGCCACGAGGGATTCCTTGAAAGCCTCAGTCAGCACATTCAGGGCAGTCGGAGAATGTAGACCCAGGAGGACAGTAGAAAGGCTGGCCTGACCACAGAGACTGGCTGCCAGACTCTGCCCCTGCTGAGTGGACCCTCGCAGGGGCTCCCAGGCAGCCAGGAGGGAGGCCTCAAGCATGGGGCACTGTTCCAGAAGGCGCTCACACTCCCGGGCTACCTGCTCTGTGGTCAGAGGCACCTCTCTGCGGCCGCGGAGTTCCTTCCAGGACAAACTAGGCTTGGGGACCTTTAGCCTTGGGGACGCCCCCAGGCAGGCCATCATGGCCAGGAGCTTTGAGCGGGACTTAAGGAAGGCCAAGGCTGAGGAGGTGAGGGCTGGGGGTGATGGATCCCTCAGGGATGCGTGAGGCTTTCTTTCTAGTGCGGGAGTCTCGGTTGGCTTGCGGGAGCTCAGTGAAGAAAGTGGGAGGTCGTCAAGGCAGTGGGAAGCGTGCAACTGGGCCAGGGTGCCCAGGCTGGTCAGGAGGGCTGACGTCTGTTGGTTCTGCCAGGACGGGCAAAGAGCAAGGGGCTCGCAGCAGCAGTTGACAAGGACCTGTGGCACACTCAGGTTGAGACTCTCTCGGGTCAGAAGGGCAGCCAGCCTTGGGGGGAGAAAACAGAGGGCATGCGGGCTGAATATACAGGCACTGTGACTTAGTCATATAATTTTTTTTTTTTGAGTTGGAGTCTCACTCCGTCGCCCAGACTGGAGTACAGTGGCCGCTCCTGGCCACCGCAGCCTTGACCTGCTGGGCTCCGGCGATCCTCCTGCTTCAGTCTTCCAAGTAGCTGGAACTACAGGTGCGCGCTACCACGCCCGGCATATTTTTTTTTGATTTATTGTAGAGATGAGGTCTCGCCAAGTTGCCCAGTGGGTCTCGAACCCGTGGGCTAGGGCAATCTACTCACCTCAGCCTCCCAAAGCACGGAATTACAGGCTGAGCAGTCCGGTTTAGTCATACAATTTATTCATTCTTACACAAGCACATGGAAACAAAGGCTCTTAATTGTCCACCCCTACCCCCTTTTTAAACACAAAATGAGATCTATTAGACACACTGCTCTGCCTCTTGCTTTTCCACTTAATAAAATGCCTGGGAGACCTGTCCATATCCTGCTACAGAGAGGACCTTCATTATTATTATTATTTTTTTACTGCTACATAGTATTCTATTATGTGGGTGAAACATAACCTAGCTAGCTAGTTTCCAGTTAGGGCATGATGGAGTTTTCTGATCTATTGCTATTACATAGTAGGCTGTAATGAAATGATTCTGCACATACAATACTTATCATATGCATAATAAATCTGCTGGATGAATTTTCCAATGTGAATTGCTAGGTCAAAGTGCATATGAATTTTAACAGATATTGACAAATAGACTTCCCACAGGGGCTGTACCAATTTATATCCTACCAGCGATCTGTGAGAATCTCTGTGAATACTTGTTTTCCTATAGATTAACTCACTATTGTGTTATCAAATTCTGAATTTTTGCTATCCATAAAGTGAAGAGTCATCCATTAATTTCATGCCTGAATATACATGCTAAAGGTGTTGAGAGAGAAAGAAAAACAAGGCATATAGAATTTTAAGATTACTGCAGATTAAGGACAAAGTCTGGAAGAAATCCCCACTCTCTGTGCTGACCATAAGCACAACCCCTCCGAGTCCTTGGCATTCTTGAAGAAGTAATCAGAGAGGCCCATGGCCAACTTGCAGGGAGCGACTCTTACCTGTCTGGGGGAACTTGTCTCTCAAGCAGGAGGTGGGACACCAGTTGGGAAGAGCTCTGTTGCAGCAGAACAAAGGGATTTCCTACCTTGACCTCCACGTGATCTGCGAAGATAAAGAACATGACTTCTGTTTGTACCACTGACTGAAACATTTCAGAGCCCTGTTTTCCAGAATCAATTAAAAACTACAGCGTTGACTAGACATGGTGGCTCACGCCTCTAGTTCCAGTGCTTTGTGAGGCTGAGGCAGGAGAATTGCTTGAGACCAGCAGTTTGAGACCAGCCTGGGCAACACAGTGAGACCCCATTTCTACAAACTTTTTTTAAAAGTAGAGTGTCAAAATGAAGATGCTAAGAGCCCTTCTGGTAATTCATTCCACGTAAAGGGTACTCTCACCATGACCTGGACCACAAGTTTATCCACACCTTACCACTACTCTAAAGGCTTCCAACCCCCAACAAGCTTCAGTGGGCAGGTCTAGAGACAGCTCACTCCTGCCCTCTTCATCCTGAATGAAGTGTATGTATCCTTGCTCTGTGACTCAAGAATCTGGTTCTCCTATCAGACTTGATTCTTCTGCTGGGTCCTCAAATCCACAATGGACCAGAGATATTTCATGCTACTAATTGCACAAAATTTTATTTTTATTTTTAGAGATGGGGTGGTCTCACTATGTTGCCCAAGCTGGTCTCAAACTCCTGGGCTCAAGTGAGCCTTCCACACTTGGGAGTCACTGCACCTGGCCTACATGAAAATTTATCCAGTACTTCCATGTGCTGTATAACTACACAAGCACACAGATGAATATACCAGACAGAGATGGGTAAGAGGAGGAACCTTATAAGCCCAGTGTTCTTGGCAACTGCTATACCTCTTCACCAAGCACCTGTCCTCTTCCTTGGCTGGCACACTCACAGGCCAGTCACAACTCCATTTCCTCTTTCTTGCTACTCACCAGGCTCGGAGCTCAGACTTCGAAGGAGAACTGCAGCCAGAGTGCTGCAGTAGCTGAAGAAGGTGCCCACATAGTCAGTCTGTCTGCCACCTGTGGGGCTCTGTTTGCCCAGGTTCTTCTGGAGGAGCTGAGTCTGGGTGTGCACAGGGTGGGTCTCTGCCTCAGGAGCTTTCTGGGCTGCCTGCTCCACCAGAGAAGAGAGGGGAGGACTCCTGGGCTCTGCAAGGAGCATGACAGGATTAGGGACACAGGCTTTAGTCTGTGTACCCAGCTTTGGGTCCATTTCTGACTCAATATGAGAACTGAGCCTTGTATACACTGCATGGAACATCCAATAGCCTGCACTTATAAGTAAGACAGATATAAAATCTCAAGTTGGGGCTGGGTGAGGTGGCTCACACCTGTAATCCCAACACTTTGGGAGGCTGAGGCAGGAGGTTTGCTTGAGGCCAGGAGTTCAAGACCAGCCTGGGCAACATAGCAAGATCTTTTCTCTACAAAACAACAACAACAAAAGGCCAGGTATGGGGAGCATGCACCTATAGCCCTGCTGAAGTGGGAGGATCCCTTGAGTCCAGGAGTTGGAGGCTGTGGTGAGCCAGGATCATGCCACTGCACTCCAGCTTGGGCGACAGAGTAAGACCCTGACTAAAACAAACAAATAAAAATTCCCTGTAATCCAAGCACTTTCGGAGGCTGAGATAGGGGGGTTGCTCTGAGCCCACGGGTTCGAGAACAGTCTAGGCAACTTGGTAAGACCTCATCTCTACAACAAATCAAAAAATTAGCCAGGCATGGTAGCACACGCCTGTGGTTCCGGCTACACGGAAGGCTGAGGTGGAAGGATCGCCTGAGCCCAGCAGGTCGATGCTGGGGTGGCCATGAGCATGCCATTGCACTCTAGCCCAGGCGATGCAGTGAGACTCCAGGCGATGCTTTGAGCCTGGAGTATAGAAAATTACCCCTGGGGGTAATTTTCACCTTGGTGTCTCTGGGGTGGAATAGCTTTATCTTTTGGGGAATTGATCAATGTTTACTAAGGCTGGCTACATCTCTTATTCGTAATGAGAAAAATGTAGTATCAACTAGTAGGGTGTTCACCATCCTTTCAATTAAGAGGTGGGGACATAGGTGAAATTGTGTGATGAAGTTATGAGATATGCCCTGGCTAAACAATGGGCAGGCAGAGCCCCATGCCTCTGCTCCAAAGTGCTCCCTCACTCTCAGGGGTTTCCTCTGCCCAGTTCTGCCCTTCTTTGTTCCACGTAGACGACCCTGTACCTGGCAGCTCTAGTGCCTCTCTCAGCGACTGAAGGGCCTGATCTAGCTGCTGGGAGAGGGTGGTGTGGCTGGTGACACAGTCCTCCGTCAGGTTGGGCCAGCACGTCTGTAGCAGCTCCGTGATACTGCACCGGGGAGGGCCTCCTCCCTTGTCTTCCATACTCTCTGTGGAAAGCAAGTGAGGAAGACAAAGTGAAGCCTGCCACTCACATAATGTTCCATATCCAGGAGAAAGAAAAGGGGGAAATGCAACTCACCCAGTTTGGTTTGTCCGGCTGACATAAATGGATAGTTGAGAATCTTACTGATTTGCTGAAGAACAGCTGGAAAACCTCGAATGCCATCAGCATTGAGAAGCACATGTTCTAACCTTCGACCTGGAAATGGATGAAGGAAGAAAGAATGCAAAAACAAACAAACAAAAAAATTAAGGCATTTTTCAGAGACTGAGACTCAGTCCTGTATTTACAAGTGAAATTTTATTTTCTCCAATATTAAGGAGGGATATGGCTGTTCCCAAATGGGTGACACCTGGTTTATTCCATACCCCAGCTTCCAGGACCACCTCTGGCAAGATGCCTCTGCTGTCAATAGCAGTGGATTTAGAATCTCCAGCAGTCCTATGGAATTGCTGCCCTAAGCTGATTGGATTTGCCTTGGTACTGCCCTGAGTTGCAAATTTGAGCTGGGACCCTTTCTGTCTTCTTTAATTGTTTTAAGTGATGTCTTGACATTCTGATTACGACTAGAGACAACTTTATGGACAGAGATTATTCTTCATACACCTCCTATACCCCCATATACTTGGGATGATCTGAAGACACAGTAGGTACTAAAAAGATTCATAATTAATTGATATAAAATGGTTTCAGCTATCAACAGCTTGAATAATACCTCCTCTCATTTTAGAATGTATTAGATGGGGGAAGGCACATTGTTAGACAAAAACAGTATTGTGTAAGCCATTGTATTCTTTCTTAGAAGCAATATGTGGACATTAAAGGACATTTTAACAGCAGCTCAGAAGGATTTGGAGCCAGATATAGAAAGGAGTTAACACAGTAGGCCTGACATTGCTATCCTTATAAGGCCTTCTTTCAAGGTTGGTCCTTGGCTGGCGTTTATGGACTTGACTGGTAAACAGTTTCCTACACTGATATAAAACTTTCCCTAAATAATGAGAGTGCCTCACTGGGCCTAAACTATTTCTACAGTATCATGTATGCTGAATGCTGAATACCTGCTTTCTTGTTGGGAGTCCAGAATTTGGTAGGTGTTAGGCAGAGGGTGTCTTTGTCACCATCCCAATAAAAACCTGGGGTCTTGGGTCTGTGGTGAGATTCCCTGTAACAACACTTTGTCAGTGTTGGCACAACCCATTGCTGGAGGAATGAGCATGTCTTGTGTGGCTCCATAGGGAGAGGACTTGTGGAAGATTGTGACTGGTTTCCTTCATACTTTATCCCATGAGCCTTTGTTCTTTGATGATTTTGTTTTGTATCCTTTTGCTGAAATGCATCTTAGCTGTGTGTATGACTATATGCTGAGTCCTGTGAGTTCACTGAACCTGGAGGTGGTCTTGGGGATCCCAGACACAAGGAGCTATTCATACTGTGACCTATTCACAACTCCTCTCTTCATATTACAGAGGCAGAACATGCTCCTTTCTCCCCTGCTGCTCAGTTTTTCCAATGTTTGGTACAGGTATCAAGGCTGGGTGGGAGTGGAGATTTGCCTGATTCTATCTTCATATACCTGATTCCTCTGAGAGTTCTATATACACATTTCTAGGATATCATTAACCTCAAGGTATGACCATCCCTCCGACTGTGATTCATTGATTTTTCCCTCACACCTAGTTTACAAATTCAAGATGGCCCCAAATTCTAGGTTAAATGAGGTTCAATAAGAGGGGGCATGTGTTTTAAAGGCTCATATTCCATCTATATCATTTTAGGATGTCTATTTCTTCCTTGAATTAATCTACCAATTGAAAAAGAGTTTCCCCAAATGACTGCAGATTGCTACAGCTATTAAAAAGGCAAGACTCAACAGACCATATTTATGTTATCAGGTTGAACATGAGGAAATTTAAGAATCCTTTTTCCTTGTCCTCTCTCTTCCAATAACTACTTATTTTCTTTTTTTTAGTTGAGGTCTCACTCTGTCGCCCAGGCTAGAGTGCAATGACATGATCACAGCTCACTGCAGCCTCGACCTCTTGCGCTCAGGTGACCCTTCTGCCTCAGCCTCCCAAGTAACTGGGACTACAGGCATATGCCACTATGCTCAGCTTATATTTTGATTTTTTTTGTGGAGACAAGGTCTTGCTATGTTGCTCAGGCTGGTATCAAACTCCTGTACCCAGGTAATCCTCCTGCCTCAGTCTCCCAAAGTGCCGGGACTATAGGTATGAGCCACAATGCCCAGCCCCAATAACTACCTTCTTCTTGCACAATTTATTAAATCACTCAGAAAGCCCATCTCCTCCTTTGAGAATTAAGGGATATGGCTAAAGATGCACACTTACCCCGGCTCTCAAGGCTGCTGTTCAGACGCCGCTCGGCTGTCTCCAAGAGCTGCTTGCAGGTTTTCCAGAGTTGGCAATGACAGCAAGCTAGGTCAAATGCAGCCATGGCGGGGGGACTGAGGTCTTCCAGAACCTCTCTCAGGGGGGCAGTAGGCTCCACCAGAGAAGTGCTTATCCAGAAGTCCTCCTGGAGCGTGGAGATGGGGTCTCCAGAGGTGCTGAGCAGCTTGTCGGTCACATCAGAGATGGAATAAAATACCATTCCTGGACAGCCAGCATGGAGTAAAAAATGAGGGGTTAAAATGATTCTAACTACTACTTTTATTAGTTTTTAAAGACATTTGAGGTTCACCTGCACAGGATACCCTCAATGTGTATTGGCACTATTGTTACAGCCCACTCTGTAACAATGGCAAGAAGAGGACAAACTAGAGAAACTCAGAATGGTCCAGACAAGAGAGAACTTCTTCCAGATAGGACCTGAGAGGAACTTGAGGAAGGATGATGTGGAGTTGTGTGTGCTAATCAGAAAAGACTGCTAAAACACATTGCTAAAAACCCACTCTTAATGTCATAAGAGTACGTGAACATTAAAAACAAGAAGGATGTGTCGGTAGTCTTGTGAATGGGCTTAGAGCATTTCTGGGAGAAGACATAAGAAGCAACATGTGGTGGTAACTTGATATATAGAGCCTAGCCCAGTAAGAGATGTGAAAACACGGGACAAGATCTATCTCCAAGAAATAATGAAAGGATGAGGTTTTTTGCAGTGCTCCCAAGGTCAAGGATTGAGACCTGTGAGTCCCAATCCTGTAAATGTTAATACACAACTTCTTCACTTTAAGGAATAGTAAAATAATATTTTTTATCCCTGAATAATTACATAGGAAGGAAATAAACTCCTAACCATTTCCTGAAGTTTTCCCAAGGTGAGAAGATTGCTTGAGCCCAGGAGTTCAAGACCAGACCAGGCAACAAAGCGAGACCTCATCTCTACAAAAAATTAGAACATTAGCCAGGCACAGTGATGTGTGCCTGCAGTCCTAGCTACTTGGAAGAATGAGGTGGGAGAATCACCTGAGCCTAAGAGGTTGAGGCTGCAGTGAGTCATGACTGCCACTGCACTCTAGACTGGACGACAGAGCAAGACCCTGACTCAAACACATAAAATACACACACACACACACACACACACACACACACACACACACACACACACGATGGAAACAGCATTCATGATCCCCAGTTTAAGTCATGTAGGACAAGGTTAAAGGAGATGGATGACATGTGAATGTCATGGTCAGGGAGGTTGGGTGCAGCTGGAAAATGACTCAATGTGTCAAGATTGTTGTTTTTCAAGGCAGGTGTACTGCTTTGGATTTCTGCCTAGGATTTGGGTGCTTTCTCCCCTTTCTCCACTCCCCCATCCCCCAGCCACCTCATCACCAGTGGTGGCAGAAGGAAGCCTGACCTGCTGCTGCAGCGCTGCCAATGGCCTGCAGGGTTGAGCGGCCGCTACCAGTTCTCCGAATGGTGTTGCTGCCCCCATCTGGGTTCTGGTTTTCAATCTTGTGCTCTACTTGGGCCAGCTCCTGGATCACCTCCTGGTAGCGCTCCACAAACATCAGTTCCCCTGAGCTGGGTGAGGATTTCAGGTTGAACATGAACACCACCTGTCATGGGAGAAAAAGGAATGTGGGGCCGTGGTGGGCCCACTGGGCTGGGGAATGTCTAGAGAAGGGAGATCTTGCCAACCTTTAGACTATGGCCCTAAGATGTCTGCTTTGTAGGGTCAGAAGTACACTGAAGTCAGAGGGGGAGATCAGATAGAAAAATAACTCATAAAATTCAGTAAGAAAGCCACCAAAGCCTCAGGAGAAAATAAGCAAAAGATATGGACAGTTTCAGAGGAAATATATATGACTCATACAAAAAAAAATGAGACTGTGTTTTCCCTTACCAGTCATCCAAGAATTTAAGTAATAATATAATTTTGCACCTATTACAATAACAAAGTGTAAAAAATCCACAGGGGTGGTATTAACAGCTGTCACAACTTTTTTGAAAAGCACTTTGGCAATCTATAAAGGCTAAAAGTGTTTTATCTTTTGACCTAGTAATTTTTATAAGAAACTTTAAGAAAATAATTCAAAAGGCTTAATGCCTAAAGATTGGCACTATATTGGCACTATTTATTACCATGCTTACAGTTTAAAAATATAATCTAAATGTTGAGAAATAGGGAAATGGCTAAATATAGTTACTTGACCAGATTATTGTGAGGTCACTAAAATCAAAATTATAAGGGAAATGCTTGTATCATAATGTAAAAAATGCATGATGTAAAGTTTTAGATTCAAAATGACTTCAGCTATATAAAAGCCATATATATCTTGGAAAAATATTAGTAAAAAAAATCTCTAATATTGGTTGTCCTACACAATAGAGTTAAAAAAATTTAATTTTCTTGCTAATACTTTCTGATTTTTTTTATACTTTGCACAACTTACTCTGTATCCAGGTTAAAAAAAAGGGGGTGAGGGGGCACTGAGTGCAGTGGCTCACGCCTATAATCCCAGCACTCTGAGAAATTGAGGTGTGAGGACTTGAGCCCAGAAGTTGGAGACCAGCCTGGGCAACTACTTGGTAGGACTCCAACTCTACTCAGGAGGCTGAGGTGGAAGGATCACCTGAGCCTAGGTCGAGGCTGTAGTGAGATGTGATCATGCCACTGTAGCACTCCAGCCTGGCAAGAGTGAAACCCTGACTAAAAAAAAAAAAAAGAAAGAAAGAAAAAAGAAAAAAGGATCAAGGCTCAAAGAAATGATGAGAAGTAGGGAACACTTAGGGGTAAAGGGTCAGGGTCACAGGACTCCTAGCCATCTTCCTCTAGATTTGGGTATAAGAAAGGGTGAGGAGGGCCCTATCTGTCCCCAAGGTCCATAAAAATATTCATATTAGTAAAGTATAAGATCTAAAATGATCAGAGGAAGTTAAGCAAAAATTATCCTAGCATCTAGATTACTCCTAGATTTATTCCTCAACAAATGTACTCACATGAAAGAAAAATTCTCATCTACATGATAAAATTATCATAAATATACCAAGAGCATTTTTAAAATTAGAAGAGTAGTATTTTATACTATTAATTTTAAGCAACAGTACATGATATTTATATTTCTCACAGCTGGTACATACTTCTCCTAACATGAGGTGGAAAGCAGGTGTTATATTTAACGTGGATTTTCAAAGGAGGATATTGAAGCCCAGAGGGGTTCAGAGTCTTTCTGATTATGATGCCATACTATTTTCCCTACACAACACAAGTACTCTAGTTTGCTAGCTACCTATAAAGCTTGTATATTGAACTGGCATTCAATTTATAGTTGAAAATTGTGTACATCCCTTCCGGGAATATATCTGGAAGAGCTCAAATCACTCTATAAAAAAGATTCCTGCACACGCATGTTTATTGCAGCATTATTCACAACAGCAAAAACATGGAACCAACTGTGCTGCCCATTGAAAGTGGACTGGATAAAAAAGAAAAAAGGATATTATGCAGTCATAAAAACAAAATTATGAACTTTGAAGCAACTTGGATGGAATTAGAGTCTATAATACTTAGTAATTTACCATAAAAACAAATATCTGAGCACTACATGTACTCACTCATTAGCAGACCCTGAACATTTATCATAATACTATAAGAATGGGATTGGCAGTAGTGGGATACTGTGGGGGAGGGGGGAAGGGGGTGGCATATAACATTAATAAGTGTATCAAGCTTTACCTGTACGATGGTCACTTATGTACCTAATCCTGAATTATACCCCATATCTTTAAAATAAAAAATAAAGTAATAAAGTCTTCTAAAAAAAAAAAAGTTGTGTACATCATGGTTTTTAACTATATAAAAACATGTATGTGTTCAGAGATGGAGTACAGGAAAGAAGCAGAAATTTCACTGTTTCAGAGCAGTGGGATTGTGACCGAGTATTTTCTTTTGCCTTGTTCAAATACTGTTTATGTTAAGAACACATAATTTAATGTCTCTAAAGCTGCAGTGCTGAGGACTGAGCCTGGACATATGGAAACTCCCTCCTGCTCCTCCTGCTCGATGTGGACCCCAAGTATTCTGGGTGGTTCCGGCTGCACATGCATCTTCTTTACCTGCAGTCCAGTGGGCTATGGCCAGTCAGGGGCTGACTTAGCATTCTAGGCTCCCCTCACCTGATGGGCTTCTGCAAAGTTTCCACGGAGGATGCAGGATGCCAGCAGTGACTCAGGTGGGGAGAACATCATGGGGATGAGTGAACTTTGAGGTTGGGGCTGCAAATGGCCATCCAGCTCATTCCGCCCAGACACAGCGCTCAGACTTCCTTCTGTTGGGACACAGGAACATGGGGGAGCCAGGGAGGTGATAGAACTCGAGGGAGTATTATACTGCTGCATCTCCCACCAAATTTTTCTCTCCTCAAAGTCCTTCTCTAAGGGTCTGTAAACGGGTCTTAGTTTGTGCTCAAATGAAGAGTAAACTACGTATTGTCTTTTAGTGCAAGATGTTAGTACCAACTACCTTCTTCGGGTATTCCTCTCTATTTCTCTCTGTTGATGGGTCACTCTATTGAGAATGAAACAGCCCTTTGCCTCTTCCCAGCTGAAATTTATCTGGCCATCTGTCAATCTTCTTGAACACAGGCATGGATTGCTCAGTCCCGGTTTCTACACCATAGTGCATGAAAACTCTACATCAGGGCAAAGCTGCTTGAAGTTGGCAGCTGGTTGGAATTTGCATACCTGAAGTACTTGTGCTCAGTTCACTACTTGTACTCTCCAGGGATGGGTTAGAATTTCTGTCCCGGCCATCTATTAGGAAGAAGAGAGAAAAATCAATCATCGTCTCCTTTCTGTGTAGGAACTGTGAAGTTGGCTTGAGAGGCAAGATCTGGGTAGTTAGAGTGCGAGGACACTAAGACCACCATACAACAGCTGCTGTTATTTCTACAGCAAAATGTAAGCTCCTACAGACAAAAGGCAAAGGATGGGTTTAATATGGCCCCAGAGTTCACTCGGGTAGTAGTAGCCTATACCAGTGGTTCCCAACCTGTGGGCCTCAGAGCCCAGGAGCTTTCAAGTTACTTTGAGGGGCCAGTGACCACTACCTGCTCACTAAGCACTGGTAATGTTCTGAAAAAAATAAGCAAATGGCTATTATGATCGAGAAGTAGTAGGGTGCAAAGAAGGGCCACAACATTTTCTGACATAGAAAAAGGTGTCCTCATACTCGAAAGGTAAAGAACCAAAGTATAAGTTCTGGCCAGTCAAAGCCTGCAATATGGAGAGCCCTGGAGGAAAAGCTTCTTCTCAACATCAGCTTTCTGGAAGTAATGGGGCTTTTGAATGGAGGCTCCCATTCCTTAGAATGGTCATTCAAGGGCTGTATCAGTCCCATGCAAGGGAATCCCCTTGATTCATTGTATGGGCTGCCCTTTACAAGGAGCTGTAGGCAGGAGATGATGGGCTGTGCATTCTTGGTCTGGATGGGTCAAGTGGATGCAAACTCTGCCTCTGACCCAAACCAATGAACTCAGTAGCTTCAGGGCCTTCGCCACTTGGCTTTAAAGGCCTCTCTCGTGGCTTCCCCCACCCTGCCTGGAATGTTCACCTTTCTTTCTGCCACTTAGCTAGAGCCTACTCATTCTTTGGAGTTTGGTTCAAGAGTCAGTTCCTTTGTGAAATCTGTGGCCCTGAGTTTTGCAAGCCAGGCTCTGTCCCTTCTAAGAGATTTCTTCCATTTTCAGGCACAGTCTCAGGTGAGTTTAAGCTTTTCATGTATACTATCCAAGCAGGTACATTACAAATTCTCTGAAGGCAAAGGCCTGGTTTATGTCTCATTCACCTCCCTCAAGATACCTAGTATTGTTTAGCACACAGGAAACTGTCATGGATTCTGTGTTAGTTATTTAAAAGATTAGCATTGAAAGTCATAATGAAATTTTGATGAACTAAAAATGCAATATTCCTGTATAATGTGCCTGTATTGAACTCCTCCAAAAAAACCCCAAAAAACCAAAACCAAAAAACCTAAATAGGATCAAATGACAAAATAGAGAAAAAATTATAGCACACAATGACAAAATATTTTCCTTAATGTATATAAAGAGATTTCAGTTGGGCTAATGCCTGTAATCCCAGCACTTTGGGAGGCAGGGGCAAGAAGATGGCCTGAGCCCAGGGTTTGAGACCAGCCTGTGCAACTTGGCGAGACCCCATCTCTACAATAAATCAAAAATTAGCTGGGCATGCCTGTGGTTCCGGTTACTTGGAAGGTGGAGGAGCCCAGCAGATCAAGGCTGCAGTGGCTGTGAGTGTGTCCCTGCACTCTAGACTGGGCGACAGAGTGAGACTCCAACTCAAAGAAAAAAAGAAAAAAGAGCTTTCTCTATTTCAAAAAGAAAGATAACCCAATAGAAAAGAAGACCTTACATATGATTAGGTAGTTCACAGGACTATATAAATGGTCAATAAATATATTAAAAGACATTCAGTACAAAAAATTAATATTAAAGCAATGATGCACATTATATTAGTTATATTGATGAAAATTAAAAAAAATCAAATACTACTTGCTGATGAGTGTATGTACAAATAGGCAATGATGTACAGCTTGTAGGAACAGAAATCATAGGGGGGTGGGGGATGGGAAGAGGTTGGTGAATGAATACAAAATAATAGCTTGATAGAAGGCAATCCACTCACTTCAGCCTCCCAAAGCGCAGGATTATAGGCTGAGCCACTGAGCCTGGCTTATTGTATATGCTGGTAAATATGGTTAACTATCATCTATTGTATATTCTCTTTTTTTTTTTTGAGTCGGAGTCTCACTCTGTCGCCCAGACTGGAGTGCAGTGGCCGCTCCTGGCCACCGCAGCCTCGACCTGCTGGGCTCCGGCGATCCTTCCGCCTCAGCCTTCCAAGTAGCTGGAACTACAGGCGCGCGCTACCATGCCCGGCTAATTTTTGATTTATTGTAGAGATGAGGTCTCGCCAAGTTGTCCAGGCGGGTCTCGAACCCGCGGGCTCAGGCAATCCACTCACTTCAGCCTCCCAAAGCACGGGATTACAGGCTGAGCCACCGAGCCTGGCTTATTGTATATTCTCAAAAACCTAAAAGAGAGGTTTCTGAATGTTCACATCACAAATAAATTATAAATGGTTGAGGTGACAGATATGCTAATTACCCTGATTTGATCATTATACATTAAATACACATGTTGAAATATCACCCTTGCAGGGTGTAGTTGCTCATGCCCGTAATCCCAGCACTTTGAGAGACTGAGGCAGGAGGATTGCATGAGCCCAGGAGTTCGAGACCAGCCTGGGCAATACAATGAGACCCTGTCTCTACACCAAATAAATAAAAAATTAACCGGTCATGGTGGCACACGCCTATAGTCCCAGCTACTTGGGAGGCTGAAGTAAGAGAATTGTCTGAGACCAGGAGGTCCAGGCTGTGGTGAACTGTGAGGATGCCACTGCCCTTCAGCCTGGGTGACAGAGTGAGACCTTGACTCAAAAAAAGAAAAAAAAAAAAAAAAAAAAAATATATATATATATATATATAATTATATGCCAATGAAAAATAAAAGGAAAAAAATAATAAGACCTACTTCATAGTATATTGTGAGGATTAAATAAGTTAGCAAATATAACTCCAAGAGCAGCATCTGTCATACAATGAGCACTTAATAAATCTTAACTCTTACAGAAAAATTGAAAAAGAAATTCAAATTCGTTCATCATCTTTAGGCAATTGGGTCATCTCTGTCTATATTTTACGTGTATATACCTTTGATCTAGCAATTCTACTCCTAGGAGCTTATCCTATGCACAGACATTTGGATAAGATTGTTTATTGTAGCATTGTTTATAATAGTAAAAAATGGGAAATAACTTAAATGTCCCTGAACAAATTATATATGACAATGGGATACTAAGCAATCTTTAAAATGATAAGTGAAACAAGGTCTCAATTTATAGTATGATGCATCTGTACATATAAGAGGATATATATGTTTGTATTGCATGGATAATTTCTGGAAGGATGGAAGAGAAACTCTTAACAAGGATTACATTGGGGTAGCGGGACTAGGATAATCTTATAGCATTTTTATTGGTTTGCTTTGGCCATGTGCTTTTTCCTAAAGAATGTTAGGCATGTGGCAATACCCCACTTGCCTGGTGCATGGGAATGAGGCACAGGGAGAGAGTTCTTCAGGTTACCCGCCCGGCTCCTTCTTGTCCGATGGCCCCGGTGGAGACTGGGGTGCCGTGTGGCAACAGGCCGGTGTCTTCGGGAAGGCTGCTCCTCTGAAATAGCAAACCCAATGGGACACAGAGAGTGATTCACTTTGATCTGACCTACCTCTTGGGGTGACAGGTCGGGGAAGATCAGTACTGGGTTTTGAGACATGGAGCTCTCATCCAGTATTCTGACATTGGCTGCTCTGGTGATCTGTCCTGAGTTGTGGTGTGACTCCCATGTATAGCTCTTGCCCTCCTTCCTGGGATTGTTCTCCCTTCCCACCTGCTGGACCCACTGCTTGTGTTCCCTCCTCTCACCTGACAGGGTCTCACCTGAGTCCTGGTTGCTGGTCACCACCTTGTATCTCCACTGTGCCTCAGAGAGAACCTTGGAGAACCGGTGTAGGCGGCTCTGCAGTCTGTCTCTGCTTCCTGAGCAGCTCTGGTCTTCTTGCTTTGGCTTCTCAGGGGGGTCGTGGCTGCTGAGCTCATCCAGCTGCTCTTGGAGAAGCCCAAGGAAGGCCCCTATTGCAAATTCATCAGCCAGAAATCCACTGATACCACCAGTAAAGTGCTTTAGGTCCAAAAAGCTGTGCCCATGAGGCCCTGGGTAACTGTCTTTTGGTTCTGCCTTCAGACAGCTTGGCGCTGTATAAGCAGGGCTCCTGGGGGCTCCCAGGGAGCCCTGCTCTGACTTCCTCTCAGGCTGTACTATGTGCTGAGGGCTCTCTGCTGGGGAACTCAAGCCCAAGGGGCCCTTCCCCTCAATGTCATCATCCTCAGCATAGTCCTCAGGCAGGTGAGGCTCTGGGTGAAGGTCCGCAGAGGTGATGAGAAGCAATGAGAAGATGTTTTCTAGAAGTTCCAGGCACAAAGAGTCGGGAACACTGCACAGATACTGTCGACACCTGGCCAGGTAAGTTGAGAAGAGATCTGCAGCACCTACAAAAGCATGTATCAAAGAAGATGCCAGAGAAAGAGAAGAAAAGAAAGAATGCAAACACTTCAACATTACTTGTCAGTCAAACATTCTCCCAACTTTAGTTCATTTATTTAGTTTTTAATATCTAAGGAAAGTGAATTTACAGTCAGAAGAATAAGAGAGCTACTCAGCATGATTCTTCATGAGTTGCAGAAAGATTTTGCTACTTTAGCTAAGAGTACAACTTACTGACAGTCATTAATTTGTTTCTGTTTTCAAAATATCATATTTTTCCTCATCCCTCATAAGTACTTCATGTTTCAGTTCCAGGAGTGAAGGCAGCATGCAGACTCCTTACTCCTTAATTCTACTTTCACTTATTCTTTTTTTTTTTATTGAGTTGGAATCTTACTCTGTCACCCAGGCTGGAGTGCAGTGGCACACTCATGGCTACCACAGCTTTGACCTGCTGGGCTCAGGTGATCCTTCTGCCTCAGCCTTCCAAGTAGCTGGAACTACAGGTGTGTGCCACCACGTCCAGCTAATTTTTCTTGATATATTGTAGAGATGAGGTCTCTCCAAGTTGCCCGGGCTGGTTTCGAACCTCTGGGCTCAGGCAGTCCTCTAGCATCCGCCTCCCAAAGTGTTGGGATTACAGGCGTGAGACACTGCACCCAGCTCACTTATTCCTAGGCTTCCTAGATCTCTTAAGAAGTATTTGGCTGGGTATGGTGGCTCACTCCGTAATCACAACACTTTGGAAAGCTGAGGTGGAAGGTCTGCTTGAGCCCAGGGGTTTGAGACCAGCCTGGGCTACACAGTGAGACCTTGTCTCTATAAAAAAATTAAAAAATTAGCTGGGCACACACCTGTAGTCCCAGCTACTTGAGAGGCTGACGCGGAAGGATCACTTGAGCCAAGGAAGTGGAGGCTGCAGTGAGCTATGATTGTGCTACTGCATTCCAGCCTGGGTGACAGAGCAAGACCCTGTCTCAAAAAAAAAAAAAGAAATATTCAATAGTCAAAAAATGAACAGGTTCAGAGGTGAAGGTCTATTCCAAAGCTAGAAGAGAGAGGTAACTGACCACTATCCACAGAAGGCATATTAAAGAATTATAAGTAATTAAGAAAAATGAGAGGATAGGGTATTAGGTTGTAGGCTGTAGGTTGTAACCCGTGAAATTGACTTAGAAGGCTGTATTTAAAAAATGAAATAGAAAATAAAAATAACCAGGAGTGTACTCCATTTGGAAGGATAAGTGTTATTTCTTAACACTTGGTTTCAGGCTGGGCTTGGTGGCTCAGCCTGTCATCCCGGCACTTTGGGAGGCTGAGGCGAGTAGACTGCCTGAGCCTGTGGGTTTGAGACCAGCCCGGGCAACTTGATGAGACCTTGTCTCTACAATAAATGAAAAATTAGCCGGGCATACCAGTGTATGTCAGTAGTTCTGGCTACTTGGAAGGCTGAGGTGGAAGGATCGCTGGAGCTCAGTGGGTTGACATTGGGATGGCCGTGAGTGTGCCACTGCACTCCAGCTTGGGCAACAGAGTGAGACTCTGACTCAAAAACAAAAACAACAACAACGACGACGACAATGACAACAAAACCCCCCAAAAACTTGATCACAGCTGGGTGTGGTAACTTACGCTTGTAACCCAAGTACTTTGAGAAGCTGAAGCAGGAGGACTGCTTGAGCCCAGGAGTTTGAGACCAGCCTAGGTAACATAGCGAGACCTCATCTCTACAAAAAATAAAAAAACGTGGTACATATACATGATGGAATACTACGCAGTCATAAAAAAGAACAAAATCATGAATTTTGCAGTAACCTGGATGGAACTTGAGTCTATAATACTGAGTGACCTCTCACAGAAACAAAGATCCGAGTATCACATGTTCTCACTCATATAATGGACCTTGAACATCCAATGTAATACTATAAGAAAATGACTGACAGTACTGGGAAACTATGGGGGGGAGAGGGGGATGGGATTAACAGTAGCGAGTATCTGTCTGGGGAAGGGGAAACACCTCTTATCAACAGGGTGCCTGAATGAAACGTAATTGTATACCTAACCCTTAACTGTACCCCACAAAACCATAATAAAAAATATTGATTTAATAAAAAAAAAAAAATAAAATAAAATAAAAAATAAGCTGGGTGTGGTGGTATGCATCTGTAGTCCTAGCTACTTGGGAGGCTGAGGCAGAGGAATTGCCGGAGTCCAGGAGGTAAAGGAGTGAGACATGACTCAAAAATGCAAACAAACAAAAAACACTTAGTTTCAGTTTATATACCACATATGTATACATATACATATGTAAACACACAGATTATATACCTAGTACAAACTAGAGTGGGATGTGAACTGCAACTCTCACCACAGATTGTTTAGAAAACCACACTAGGTGATCAGACTCCACTAAAATGCAGGCAGTCATTTGCTTTCTCCCTTTGAATCACACAGGATGATAAATGGATGAGACTATTCTGGGCATTATAAAATCAAGGTCATCCCCCCATCCCAGCCTGGTGGAAGAAGGTAACCACACGAAGCAACTCAATGGGATCGGTTGTTACTAGTGTGTGCAAGGGCTGGAGAGGAGCACTGTACCTGGGGAGGTGACAGAGTCATTTGCTGGCTCCGCAGCTGAGGCTGGGTCTTCAGAGGGGCTATCCTTGCAGTGCGGGCACTGGGAGTGCCGGTGTGAGTTCACACAGAGGGCGTAGATGGCATACTTCATGGCACAGAAGGCCTGGTAGAGTATCAGGTTCTGATACCGGTTCAGGTGCTCAGGGACTAGAGCGTCAAACAAATCTGGAATAGAGAGAAACAGGCAGAACTCCAGAGTTCATTCTTTCAGGTAGGGACTGCAAGGATGGGTAGTGAAACAAGGACATGCTGCTCTTGTATGTCCACTTGTCGGCCCCTCTGGTCAGTATCAACTTTTAGTCCCCTCCGTTTCCTTTTCGCTACTGACCTCCTTTCCTCATATCCCATGACCCCTTCCTGGCATTATTGCCCAGCGCCAGAACTTGCAAGCACCGGAGAGCAAGGGCGACCTTAATTTTGCACCTTAAATGTCTCTCTTGCCTAAACCTAGTCCCAGGTCTACTACTGTCTCTCTTTTGCTTTTTCCAAGCTCCAGTTCTATGTATGTTCCAGTGGGTCACCAGGGATCAGATTTAAAATACTGTACTACTTTGGAAGGTTTCTGTACATGTATGTAGAAGCCAAAGTTCTCATTCCTTTAGGAAATCTCTTAAACAAATTGCCTATCTTTCCAGAAAAAAATACTGATTTTCCAATTGGTAGTACTCTTGAAAAGTAAATCAAAGCAATATCCAGGCTGGGAAACATCTCCTGCCATATGAGAAAGTTTGAGTCTCTCAAAGGCAAGTGCCTCAGTCCTGTGTAACTGGTTGTGACTACACACAATAATACGATTTTTTTTTTAGTCAGGATCTCATTCTTTTGACCAGGCTGGAGTACAGTGGCGTAATCGCAGCTACTGAACTCCTGGGCTCAGGCGATCCTTCCACCTCAGCTTTCCAAGTAGCTAGGACTACAGGTATTCACCACCATGCCTTCTTAGCTTTTTGATTTATTGTAGAGGTGAAGTCTTGCCAAGTTGCCCAGGCTGATCTTGAACTTCTGAGCTCAGGCAATCCCCTCAACTTTGCCTACCAAAGTGCTGGGATTATAGGCATAAGCCACTGTGCCTGGCCATAATAATATGATTTTTGAGAGCAAAAAGAAATATTTGTTCTTTCACAACATATACATGTAGAAACATACTTTGTACCCCACAAATATATACAATTATTATTTGTCAATTAAAATTAAGATAAAATTGAGCCTGGCATGGTGGTCTATGCCTATAGTTCCAGCTACCGGGGATGCTGAAATGGGAGGATCACTTGAGCAGACTGGCCTGGGCAAAAATCAAAACAATAACAAAAAAAAACATGGCGAAAATTCAACCAGTGGGGCAGAGTGGAGGATAAGATGAAACTTAAAAATAAGAAGGAGCTTCTTAATAGGGTCATAAATTTAAGCACAGATCTAAGGTTAGAACAAAGCTTTGCTACTGTGTCAGGCAAATCTTTCTTTTAAACCTCTTGATCTGTTTGATGGAGGATGAAGCAGACAGGGGGAGGGAAGGAAGGCACAAAATGTGCTTTCAGCAGTGACTTACCAGGAATTTGCATGAACACTGACAATGCCAATGCCATGTATTCAGAGCACAGTTCCCAATTCTGTTTCATTGGAATGAGGGTGTCCAAGTGATTCCTGAGATGGTTCCACAAGGACAAGGAATGTGGGGCGGTGCTCAGGGGATTCCTTACATCTCATTAAGAAAGGGGAAGAGGCTGGGCCTGGTGGCTCAGCCTGTAATCCCAGCACTTTGGGAGGCCAAGGTGAATGGATTGCCTGAGCCTGTGGGTTTGAGACCTGCCCGGGCAACTTGGTGAGACCTCGTCTCTACAATAAATCAAAAATTAGCCGGGCGTGGTGGCGCGCGCCTGTAGTTCCAGCTACTTGGAAGGCAGAGGTGGAAGGATCGCCAGAGCCTAGTAGACTGGGGCTGCAGTGGCCAGGAGTGTGCCACTGCACTCCAGTTTGGACGACAGAGTGAGACTCCAACTCAAAAAAAAAAAAAAAAAAGGGGAAGAATGTCCCTATACCCCACAGTCTGATTAGGATAATCAGTGATAACTTAAGGGACGCTTGCTGGACCACTCTCTTGATAGATATCAAAAAATCACATCCAGATCAATCTCATGCTGCAACAAACACGTGCAAGACTGTCCTAAGAGGAAATCCTGGCCAAGTCATTTCATCGCCAACTCACCACGCTCTTGCTGCAGGTCCTTGGCCGGCATCTTCTGTAAGAGCTTGAGAACATCTTCCTCCCTGAGGGCTGGAAGGTTTGTAAGGTGATGGAGAGTGTAGAGCACTGAGTGGCTGTCTCCACCATGTAAATGACACAAGAGATCTCGCTTTGGTATGGGGTTGCTGAAAAGGAAATTTGGGACAATGGAAGGAAGGTGGTTGTATTGTTGCTACTGATATTATTATTATTATTATTATTATTTTGAGTCGAGGTCTCACTCTTACCCAGGCTGGAGTACAGTGGCATGATCAAAGCTCACCACAGCCTCAACATCCTGGGCTCAGGCGATGCTACCACCTCAACCTCTCAAGTAGCTGGGACTACAGGCGAGCATCACCATGCTCAGCTAGTTTGTTGATTTTATGTTGTTTAGTCTGGTCTCAAACTCCTGGGATCAAGCAATCCTCCTGTGTTGGCTTCCCAAAGTGCTGGGATTACAGGCGTGAGCCACTATGCCTGACCTGTATTATTTCCCTGAAGAAAGACCAGTCTCCCTTCCCTCTTGCTCCTTCGCTCTGGCCCTTGACTCTACAGATTTCACTTCCCTACACACTAACTTTTGTTGGTCTGGGACAGAACATAACACTGACCCTCAAAGAAGTACATCCATCAAGACAGCACTGCTTGTCTAGAAGGGACCTAGAAAGGGCCTTTCTGGTTAGTGGGATCTAGAAATGGCCTGTAGATTGAATCTCCCAATTTCTAATCTCTTTCCAACTTCAAACTGATACAAACTTCATTGGTTTTACTTTGAGTAAGGGCCCCTCACCACTTCTCCCTCTGACCCTCTACTTCAGGAATTGCTGCTGAGGTGGGTGAAGACCACCTAGCCTGGCACAGTTCAATCAATATTCTTGTTTTTTTCTGACAGGGTCTCACTCTCTTGCCTAGGCTGGAGTGTAGTGGTGTGATCCCAGTTCACTGTATAATCAACCTCTTGGGCTCAAGCAATCCTCCTGCCTCAGCCTCCTGAGTAGCTGGGACCTACTCAGCCTGAGTAGCGGTACACCAACATGCCCAGCTAATTTTTAAATTTTTTTTGTAGAGGTTAGGTTTTACTATGTTGTCCAGGGTTGTTACATACTCTTGGGCTCAAGCAATCCCTTCGCCAAGGCCCCCCAAAGTACTGGGTTTATAGGCGTGAGCCACTGTGCCTGTCTAGCGCTTGTTCAATGAAAATGTAACCCAGGATAATAAATGAAAAAGAACATGGATGTCATTTACCAGCTGTGTGACTATGGGCAAGTTATTTATCACCTCTGAACTTGCCCCACTTTTAAAGTAGGGTTATATTGGTATCTACCTCAGGGGTAAGATTGGGTGAATAGGGAGGGTGGGACATAGGGGTCATGCGTTTTTGGTAAAATACTGCTGAACACTCAGCACAGTGGACATTTGTGCCCGTAAATCACTCATTATGAAATGGGTAAAAATGTTGAAAGAGTCTCCAAAAAAATTCACTGAAGCCGAAGGCAGCCTCTTACAACATTAGCTGGTACACTGATGCCGATGAGTTTCTAGAACACTTGCCTAGTGGAGGAATCCTATACTACAAGGGGCCCACCCTCCCTCCCAAAATTCCATTTTTTGGGAGGTCACCCTTTGTAGAGTAGGTGCTCAGGAAATGTAACCTACTGTTCTTTTTGTGATAATCATTTTGAAATTATCCTCTATTTATGACCTGATTGTCATGGAGAAAATAATCATTACCTATGTTTCTTTTCTGGTTTACTAGCTAGAACACTTATCAGTGAGTGGTCAACACTGACAACTAATAACATTTACATGGACAATGTCTTGAAATGGCCACTTGCATGAAGCACAGGGTCAGGTATGTTCAGTGATGGAAAGGGACAGACTGCATGGGCCATACCTGCTCTGCTGTGTGCACCACTCCAGGACCTCCAGGTGAGCCCACAACCCCTCACAGGCATCCCTGAGAAGCTCGTCACAGCCTGGATCCTATGTTGATATGGGAGAAGAAAGAGATGCTGGCTAAGGCATCTGGGGTTGGAGATTGAGCCCAACTTTAGGACTGTGCATTCTGCCTAAGCCCGAAGCCCCATGGCATTCACTTCTAGAGCTGCATTAACTTCTGGAGCTGCTCGGAGTATAGTGAGTTACCTGGATCCTGTGTAGTGTCTGGAGCAGCCTCTTGGCTGACTCTAGGCTCTGGCAGTGTGTCCAGCCCAGGAGCACGAGCAGGCGACTGAGAGGCCTAAATTCTCTATCCAGCAGGGAGCCGAGACTTGGGAAGTCTTCTTCTTTCAACAGTGTTAGTGCTGTTACCTGTAAGCCAAAGAAGGTTGTAATAGGCAGTTGTGTGGGCAAGAAAGAATGGGTTCCAGTTTACGTTCACTAGGAAAAGAAGCTTTTTAGTATGGCAGGGAGATTTCTGACAATAACAGAAGTGGCCAGTTGTATAAAATAAGTGTTTTTGAAAACCCTCAACAGTAAGCTTCTTGAAGGCAGAGACTAACTTCTGTCGTAACCCTGACTCCTAGTACATGGCACACAGGATGACATTAATAAATATCTGACGAATTAAACTGAAGATCAGTTGCAATCTGGAAGGAAAAGGTTAGAGTCAGCTAGGCAAGGTATCGCTGCCACTGTCTTTTCTTTCTCACATCCTCTAGAAAGGGTATATACATTCAATGCTTTAGTCTCTGCCAAAGGACCAACAGAGAGTGACTGCAACTATAAGGATGAATGGTTTTGATTCTCAGTGCCTCCTTTCCCCTGGGACCATGGGATGGATAGAAACAAATGACCTGCCATGAGCTAGACATGTGTATGGGAAAGAAACGAGGAATGAAAAAGCCTTGGGAGACTCCCTGAATCCTTCTGTCATGGGCAACTATGAAGCTGGACTTACCAGGATCTGCTCAAGAAAGTGCTTGTTGCTGTTCAGGCAGTAGAAATAGGCCACTTTCCATGCCTGGGTTGGGTCAGGATTGGAGAACAGGGCTAGCATTGCCCGCTCGGGATCTAGATGATCCGGTGAGACTGAACATCAAAATAGAGAGGGTTATCAGAAACCAAGAGCTTTTCTTTCCTCAGCTAGAGCCCATGTGAAACAACCAGCTGATGTGAGAGTGCTCTTCTAAAAAGTTAAATCAGTTTTTTTTTTTTTTGAGTCGGGGGTTCCCCAGGTTAGAGTATAGTGACATGATCACAGCTCACCACAGCCTCAACCTCCTGGGCTCAGGTGATCCTGCACCTGGCAAATTTTTTTATTTTTGTAGAGATGAAATCTCTTTGTGTTGCCCAGACTGGTCTCAAACTCCTGTACTCAAGTGGTCCTCTCGCCTTGGCCTCCCAAAGTGCTGGGATTATAGGTGTGAGCCACCATGCCCAGCTTTAAGCCAGTTTTCTACACTTTATCTTAAAGAGTCTGTACTTCTTTCAATAGCTTCTGAAAAGCTCATTCCTGCTATTGCTATTATTTTACTTTTTTCCCCATCACCTCCATCTTATACTAGGAAATCTGTACTTTTACAAAAGAGCACCTTCACCATTTTGCTCAGCCTGTCCTATTAGATGCTGAGCAACACAGAAGGCACCCCATCTGAGGGACTTCATAGAGGCTGGGTGTACTGAAATTACCAAAACACCAGGAGAGGCAGCAAAGGGAACGCACCTTTTCCTGAGGTCATGACTCTCAGTGGCTTTTCTGTGACCTTCTCTGCATAGGTGTGGCCGTAGAGGGACACCAGGCCCCGCCCAGCCTTGTGCAGCAGGCAGCCGAGCAGCCGCTCCTCCTGCAGAGGACTCCCCTCGGTCCTGCAGGTTTGCAGCAGCTCCTCACACAGGAGCTGCAACTCCTCCCCAAGCGGCTCTGCAGGGCAACGCAGGGTCCGCAGGGCTGCATAGATGGCATCCACGACCCCAGGGGATCCTGACTCAGGGCCCTGTAGAGTTTGCAGTGCCTTCCGAATGAGGTCCACCAGCGCGTTCTGCAGAGGCCAGTGACAGAGGGTGGTGCTGTCATCCTCCACAAGCAGGAGCTCCAACAGGGCCTGTGCTGGTTCGGGAGACTGCCTCAGAAGCTCCCAGAGTAGAGAGGCAGCCTCGGGGCTGAGCCTCGGGGTCCAGCTCTCCCTCCTCTGAGCTCCATCAGGTACAGGGCCTACTGCGCCTTGTGCTAAGGTCTCATACAGCTCCTAAATAGAGGATGAAGAGAGGAGTGGGTGATGGGCATGTCTAAAACATTATCACTTGTGTGCCTTGATGTTTGCCTCTTTTTCAGCATCTGTCTATCTATCTATCTATCTATCTATCATCTATCTATCTCTATCGTAATAGCAAACACTTCTGCAGAAGTTTTATGTGCCAGACATTGTTCTAGGCCCTTTACACAGAAAAATCAAATTAATTCTTACAATACCCTTAAGAGGAAGACATCGCTATTACCCTGTTTTACAAATGAGAAGACTGAGGTTAAGAGAGATGAACTCAGTTGCCCAGGGCCTTTGTGCTAGTCCCACCACACTGTCTCCAAAATGTGTACCAGTCATCTCAATTAAGGACTGTAAACACATAAACCAGGTAAGACACTATGCCCATCTAAAGGCATTTAAATCCAATTTCAAAAAGAACATCACACATCAGTTTTGAATTCCTGATCAAAATCCCAGCCATGCTTTAAGATACAGTCCATTCCTTGTCCTTCCTTAAAACCTTCCCCACTACCTTCAACCTATACAATTTGGATGTACTTAAAATTAATACCATACGGTTTAGTACACAATTGTATCTTGTGTGTGTAAGTCCTTCTTCTCTAAGCCCTTAAAAACAAGAAGCTCTAAGGCCTGTCCTCTGTGTGCAAGGTTAGGGGAGGGGAGAGGGAGTGAAGGGGGTGGGAAAGTAGGTTATTTTTAACCCTTGAGCACCATGTCTCTTCATTAACTGCTTCTGAGGTAGATCACAAGATCATGAGTCCTTGACCTAATACATGTGAAAGTATCTACCTTAAACCCTATCATAAATATGTCTTTAATTAACTGGTGGCAGGGTAATTAAGAAAATAAGTATTGACCCTCAGAGCACACCTCAGGCACTTCAGTAGCAACTGGTACATGCTTTATACATATAACTAAGACTTAGTTTGAACCTGCCCCCACAAGGATATTGGGAGGATTAACACTAACATATTCAGGAAAGTTGTTATAGAAAAGATATTCAACAAATATTAGTTCCCTCTCCCTTCATATTCCCTACCATTTACTGGTAAAAACATTCAAACACCTTAGATGAAATCCAGGTTAGGTATTTCTTCTACATGAAATGAAAAATATCTTTAATTTCCAGCTTTTTTAGAACTTTTGGACAATCTACATCAGGAACTTTAAAATCAGACATTGCCCTAACTCTAAACTCTCCTCAGAAGGGCTTCTGCAGAATAGGGTAGAGCGAACAGGTTGAGGCCACCCTTGGCTGGTCTCTGGAGGTTGAGCTTGTCGAGTGACATCACCTTGGGCAGATAGCACCAGGAACCTCTCTCACCTTGAGGATGTTCTCTGGAATGTCACCTTGGAGGTCTTCTAACAATAAAAGGAACTCAAGCCTTCTCCGGAAAACAGTTGGGAGTAACTTCTAGAAGAATTATAAGAAGGAAGAATAGAGATTAAGTATATGCTTTAGTTAACAATGTAGAAGTAAATATTTATCTCTAGTTTTGTTGATTAAAAAAAAAATGGCGCTCGGCTTTTGCATCCTGGGAATCACTGGGGTCCAAACAGAGCAGCTGCGGCTCCAGCCGCTGTACCAGGAGAGCTCTGGCTGCTTTGCTCCTGAGCCCTCACTCAGTCAGTCAATATCGCACCCACTCACTCACCAGCAGGTACACAAAATTTTCCACACACTCACTCATACTGGGACTCACATACTCTGACTGGCTCGACCACCATCTTCCCTCTCCTCCATTTTTCTAGTTAGTCTTAATTCTGCTATTTCTCAAACATAAAGCACTTTTAACCCCAAATTCCTAGGTTATTTTCAGATACTTTTCTTTATAAACAAAAACAGCTGAACTTGGACATACATCCTGCTTTTTTTTTTTTTTTTTTTTGAGTTGGGGTCTCACTCTGTCACCCAAGCTGGAGTGTGGTAGCATGATCATGGGTCACTGCAGCCTTCAACTCTTGGGCTCAGGCAATCCTTCTGCCTCAGCCTCCTGTGTAGCTGGGACTATAGGTATATGCCACCACGTCCAGTTAATTTTTTTGATTCTTTGTAGAGATGTGGTCTCCCTATGTCACCCAGGCTGTTCTCAAACCCTGGGCTTAAATGATCCTTCTGCCTTGACCTCCCAAAGTGCTGTGATTCCAGATGTGAGCTGCCACACCTGGCCTCCTCTTAAAAACGAATGTTTAAAACCCACACTAATCAGCCTCAAACTCCAAGGTTTGTTCATTTCATGTAACTTTTTTTTTGCCACTTGAGGTCTTTCCCCAAGAATCTCCCTTGCTGAGTTTAAAACTCCCAGTATGGGTAAGCCTGGGAAGGTATGGCCCATGTGATCCTTTTTTGGTCCAAAGCTGTGTTTTTTGACATTCATTATCCCTTGCATATCAGTAGGAGAAGAAAAGTAAAGGTGGAGAGATCTAATGTTTATTCAACACTGATTATATGCCAGGGACTGTGTGCCATATTTTATTTTTCTCTCATTTAATTTCCAAATCAAACAAACCCATGACACATAGTCATATATTTTTAAACCTAATCTTTAACAGAGGATAAATAGTTAGGAAGCCTTTTCAAATTATCGCAAACAAAAAGGAAAACGTGATCCCAATGTCCATAATGAGACATGCCATCAGAGAGATCTATGCATTACAGAGAGCTGCTGACACTTCCTGCACCTGCTTGTTTCACAGTAACTTCCCTTTGCCCGACCCCTAAAACTCAAATTAGAGTATCCCTTTCTCTAGACATAACTAAAAATAAGATTAGAGTCTAGCCCTAATCCTGACAAACACTACTTTAAATTGGTGATATCTGTTAATCAGACCTCTGGTTAAAGCTTCCCAAAGATAAGTTTTATGAGAAGGCAAGGAGCACTTGCAGGAGCACCTAAACGTGTGTGTGTGTGTGTGTGTGTGTGTGTGTGTGTGTGTGTGTGTAGGATTTAGAACACAAGATCACACTTCCTCCATTCATATACCTTTCATCACATCAGAGGCTAGCATGATCTAATATGTTCTTGCACCAGAATCTTATTTCTTCTTACCATGTGCTTCTCTAATAAGTGCACCAATACCATGTAAGTGCTTGTATAATGCCTGTGATTGGAAATTGGAGATTTATACTGGGAAGATTCTACTGAGGAATAAGAGGAGAGAATAGATAAGAAGCCTAAGTAGCAGGCCCTTAATAGTCTGGCTGAGATTTTAAGACTTCATCTAGAATTTTAAAGACTGATCAGCTTATACTTATTTTACCGGTGAAATTACTTTAAGCACATTCAGGGTCATACATGACTGATATTCTTAAAACAGGCAGGAATTTGCTTAATGTTTCTAAGCACAGATTTTCTTACTATAAAAGCAAGACATGTTTGATGTAGAAAAATTAGAATATACAGGTTGGGCACAGTGGCTCATGCCTATAATCCCAGCACTTTGGGAGGCCAAGATGGGAGGATTGCTTGAGCCCAGGAGTTTGAGATCAGACTGGGCAACATAGTGAGACCTCATCTCTACAAAAAAATATAAAAAATTAGACTAGCATGGTGGCATGTGCCTGTAGTCTGAGCTACTCAGGAGGCTGAGACAGAAGGCTTGCCTGAGTCCAGGAGGTCGAGGCTGCAGTGAATTCTGATTGTGCTACTGAACTCCAGTCTGGGCAACAGAGTGAGACTCTGATTCAGAAATAAAAATAAATAAAATATGTTTTGGAAAAAAAGAGAAAAATTAGAATATACAGACAAGCAAATCTATACATATATATCTCATATCAAGTCTTCTCACTGTAGGAGAACTATCATTCATACTGTGGTCTAAGGGCATTCAGACCAATTTCAATGCACATCTTAAGGCACAGATACCAAATATACTTCTTTCTTTTTTTAAACTGCTTTTTCTCTCACATAGCAGAGCATAAGCATCCTTCCATGCCACTGAAAATTCATTTGCCAGATAATTTTGAATCATGGCATAGTGCTTTACATATAGATAACCCTCCCTTTGTTAACCAGTCCTATATTGTAGACATGGGAATTGTTTACAGTTTTTCTCTAATAGAAGCATCACAGAAGTGAATGTCAAATCTTTGTACATAAGCTTACACATGTACAGAGAAATCACTGTAGGATAAAGAGGCAGAAGGTGGGGGAAAGGAGAAACGGAATTACTGTTTCACCTAATAATTAAAAAGGAAGATTCTGGCAGAAAGTGGGAACTTGGAAAAGGGTAGGCAGCCAGCGACTCCCTCTCCAGGATAACCACTACTGGCTTGGTATAACTACTCCAAGAGTGCATCTGAAATCTTGGTCCTTATATTAAGTTTAAAAATTATACGAGGAACTGATACATTTCCACAACTGTTTAAATAGTCAAGTCGCTGGGCTTGGTGGCTCAGCCTGTAATCCCACGCTTTTGGGAGGCTGAGGTGAGTGGATTGCCTGAGCCCGCAGGTTGGAGACCCGCCTGGGCAACTTGGCGAGACCTCATCTCTACAATAAATCAAAATGAGCTGGGAGTGGTAGCGCACGCCTGTAGTTCCAGCTACTTGGAAGGCTGAGGCGGAAGTATCGCCAGAGCCCAGCAGGTTGAGGCTGCAGTGGCTGGGAGCGGCCACTGCACTCCAGTCTGGGTGACAGAGTGAGACTCCAACTCAAAAAAAAAAAAAAAACAAGTCAAGTCGCTGAAGCTTTAAAAACTGAATGATCTGTGAAGCCGTGAGAAACAAGAATAACTCTTAGTCTGGAGTCAGGGAATGAAATCTGCCACCTGACATGGTTGAGCAACTGTCTAGAAGACAAGCAACCAATCAGGCATGAAATCAGCAAACAGTCTTTATGGAAGGGAAAGTTCACTAGGATTTGACAAATTCTATGTCTGAAAGATCCTTACCCAACAACAAGAGTTTTTTTCTTTTTGTCTTTGAAGTTACTATTGTAACTATGGCATGACAATTTTAGGTCAAGTTTTCTCTTGCAAATCTGAACCATAGTCAACTCTTATTTATCCTGAGTTTCATTATTTTTCAGTCTTGTTTCTCCTTCTTCTCTCTTGTTCGTCTTTTTGTCCTTTTTCCTTGCTAGATAATTGGCTAAAGCTTGGATAACCGATGCATTTAGATCAGCAATTTCTGCTGCTTTTTGAGAGCTATGTGAAAGAAGACAAATGCCATGCAAAAATGGAACTGAAGACAAAATTAAAATCAATTCTAATGGCTGATAGGAGCAAAGCTAAGAAAAATTAGGCTAAATTATAGATATTTAAAAATAGAATTTGTGGTTTCTTACTTTTAAGTTCATGTGAACTAAAAAAGAATGTTGAGATGAAAAAGCAGAGGACTGGGAGTGAGAGGATCTTGGTTTCAGCTTCAGTTCTGCCAACCAACTTTAGGGTGTGTCCTGGGGCCAGACTCATTTCTCTTCTGAGTCAGAGGTTCCTCATTTAAAATTGTCTCAGAGAAATTTCTTTACTTGACACCAATTACTGATAATTAACACATACTTCTAAAAGGACTTTTTATTTAAAAAGAAAAAAAAGAGCACTTCCTTACTAGTTTTCTCTCACTGTTAATTTGCTCACTGTATTTTTATATTTGGTCACTTTTGGTTCAATTCATGTAAATTTATAGATTACTAATTAATGACATGGGTCTATAAGATTTCACTGTATTAGACTAGTTAAAATAGGGCTTTTTGGGGAAAAAATATTTCAGCTCAGCTCATTCTCTATTACTTGACTGTTGAAGAGATCCAAATCTCTCATATTTTATTTGCTATTTTGTCACTTTCACTGAGTTCCACAAAGTTCTCTTCAGGCACAAGACTCATAGCGGTATTTAATACAATGGTATCATCTCAAATGGTTAGGCTCAATGTGTGTTAGTGAACTAATGAATTCAGGTAAGGAGACAACAATAAAAATTTAAGCCATTCTCTGAGAAAGAGTTTGACAAACTTCATAATAAAGGAAGTAACAGACAGAAGGGAAATTCCATTACTACTTCCAAGTTCTCAGTTCTGGCCTCAGGGGAAAATTAAGTTGTAAACCTACTTACCTTTTCCTGGGTCAACCATTTTTCCAGTATAAGAAGCCAGAGCCAGGCTAATCTTTGAGGGCTGATGTCCTGACCACATCTGAAAGAGGTGAAAAGAAAGACTTTGTAAAAAAGTCTCTACTGATCTTTCTCTTTTGTGATTCAAGGTTAGATTTCACTGCTCATTCTGTTTTAAACATGAACAGGTAAGACACTGTCCTAATGAGATATTGTCAAATATATATGACAGCTCAATAAAACATTAGAACCAGAAAAAGCTGCAGCTTTCCTTTTTCCACATCCTTATCTAGTCTTATATTTATTTATTTATTTGAGACTAGGTCTTGCTCTGTCACCCAGGTTAAAGTGCAGTGGACACCTGGGCTCAAGTAATCCTCCTGCCTCAGCCTCCCATGTAGCTGGGACTACAACTACAGGTGCGTGCCACCACACCTGGCTAATTTTCTTATTTATTTGTCGCTATGTTGCCCAAGCTGATCTTGAACTCCTGGCCTCAAGTGATCCTCCTGCCTTGGCCTCCCAAAGTGCTGGGATTACAGGCATGAAGTACTGCGCCTGGCATCTAGTCTTATTTGTAAAATTACAGACAAAGCTGTAATAGCTATCTAAGTATATTCTTGCATATACAAACTGAATCCAATAGTCTTTTTTTTTTTTTTGAGTTAGAGTCTCACTCTGTCACCCAGACTGGAGTGCAGTGGCCGCTCCCGGCCACCGCAGCCTCGACCTGCTGGGTTTCAGTGATCCTTCCACCTCAGCCTTCCAAGTAGCCGGAATTACAGGCGTACGCTACCACGCCCGGCTGATTTTTTTCATTTATTGTAGAGATGAGGTCTCGCCGCCCAGGCAGGTCTCGAACCCGCGGGCTCAGGCAATCCACTCACCTCAGCCTCACAAAGGTGTGGGATTACAGGCTGAGCCACTGAGCCCGGCTTCCAATAGTCTTAAAGAAAAAAAAGGAACTTTATAAAAATGTATTAACTATACACTAAAAACAGTTTTGCAGGAATTCATAAACTTTTCTTCGAAGTTAGGAATTTAGACAACAACCAGCTAGAACCCAAATTTAAGGAGAAAAATAAAGGAAGGAAAGAATTACTTAAGTTTCTCCATTCAGTATGTGCTAATACAGTAATATATAAACAGTATAACATAATAGTCAAATAAGGAAAAGCCAAGTGAAAACTCAAACTGTACATTTGACTCCTATACTACTGGTTAATAGCATAGCCAGAAAGAACTTCATTAAAAATCTAGGAAGAACTGTAGTTGCCACGGGACATGGAGGGGTCATAGTACAAATACAAGGAGTGAGCAAATTTTTTTGCAGTGATGAAACAGTTCTGTATCCTTATTACAATGGGATTATGTAAATCTATATATGAATAAAATGGTATAGAACTACAAATGAAAAAAATGAATGCAGATTTTAAAATGGTGAAAACCAAATAACTTCTCTTGTGTAGTTAACAGTAATATGTCAATGTCAATTTCCTGTTATTTAAACATTTAAAGAAAATTTGGGGTCTCACTCTGTTGCCTAGGCTGGAGTGTGGTGGCACGATCATGGTTCACCACATCCTTAACTTCCTGGGCTCAGGCTCTCTTGCCAAGTAACTAGGACAACAGGCACGCAATACTACACCCAGCTAATTTTTAAATTTTTTTCTATAGACGAGGTCTCACTATGTTGTTAGGCTGGTCTTGAATTCCTGGGCTCAGGCAATTCTTTATCCTCCTGCCTTGGCTTCCAAAAGTGCTGGGATTACAGGCATAAGACACCATGCCTGACCAATTTCCTGGTTTTGATATTTTACTAGAGCTACATGAGATGTCACAACTGGGGGAAGCTGGGAAAGGGATACACTGAACTCTTTGTATTATTTTTGCAACTTCTTGTGATCTATAATTGTTTCAAAACAAAAAGTTTTAAGTGAATTCACTTTCAGTCCTTTGTTAAAGCTACAACCCTATCTTCAATTTCAAAAGCAAGAAGAGAGGAGGCTTTGCTTTTTTGGAGGCAAAGAAAAAAATATTCAGTGCAGTTCCACCATCTATGTTAATGATGATAAACAAGAAATAGTGGTTTCAGGCACATTTTGATGGTCAGGCTTAAAACTTAAATCCAGTTGCACCTGATATCCTAAAGGCAATATTGACTAAGTCATAGGCTTACATTATACAGGTAAAATTTCAGAGCTTGTGAAATACACTGTGCCTCTTAATTGTTCAGAGGGTAGTTGAGTGAGGCAAATGGACCAGAGCCCAGATATTGACCCATGTGTCTCCCGTTCTGTGACTTCCTGGCAGGAAAGGAGATCCCTTACCTCAGCAGATGTGGACACACCACCAGCGCCTGAAGTATGTCTTCTACCCTCCTTGGGATATCCCCTTGTCCCTGGTGTAGCTGAGGTACACATGCCTGTGCTAACTCCCATTCTCCCCTCCGCAGGCACTCGCAGAAAAATCCAAAAAGCTGTTTCTGGGAAGTGGCTTCCTCTTCTCCAAATGGATGATTCATTTTCCCAGCACAGAGTGCAGAGAGATAGAAAGAGATGAGTTACGCCAAACACATTCTCAGTGTTCTCATCCGTAGAGTACCTCCTGGAAACAACACACGTGGGAGTGAGAAGAAACAGCAGGAATTCTGTTCAGCGACTGTACGAGCCCGATTGGAAAAGGCGGATTTACTTTCCTAATGATCATTCTAAGTTTAATTTGACACGTTACTCTTTTGGAGAACTGCCACTTTCTCCAAGGAACAGATCCCACCTCTCTAGGCGGATCCTCTATTAAATAATACTAACAGCCGTATTGGCCTGAGGTGCAGACCCATAGCTCTACTTCTGCATTCTCTGCTGAACTTGATGCCCAGAGCGACTCCAGATTCCCAGGTGTTCGACTCTTCAAGGATGAGAAATTCAGCAGGAACCTCCCTAGTTTGAGCCCTCTGTGAAGGTAGAGGATTGAAGATCTGGAGCCGAATCCTTGTCGGAACTGGAGAGCAGTGGGGGGCGTGGGCCGCAAGGACGCTTTCTTTGGGGGTCGTGAAGAACGCCCAGCCTCCCGGGGGTGCCCTGCACTCACCTGCTCCCGGCGCCCAAAGCAACAGGGCCTCCTGCGCAGCCATGTTTGAGCCGAGTCAGGTGACAGATCGCATTCCGAACCGTGGTGGTGACGACGGACCGCGCCACTCTTATTGGCTCAGTGGAAGGAAGATGAAAATAAAAGGCCATGTTAGTTTGAGTCACGTGACGGGACTAGGGCACGCTAGAAGGCTCGGAGAGAGGAAATCGGCTCCCTGGCTACGGACCATCTCCCTCGATCACCACAGCTTCTCCCCTCAACACCTGCAGTTCTGCATTCGGCCGAGCAGGTGGCAGGAAGAGCTGTGTCCCTTGATTTTTTTTTTTCTAACACTCTGTTTCCTTCCTAGCATTTTAAGTCAACATTGACTGAGCTCCAACCAGTCACAGTATTTTGCCAGGCGCTGGGCACACAGCTAAGAGCCTTGGATCCGCCTCCATCATCATTCTGTCTACTTGGGCGCTTCTCTCCATTCGCTTATTTGCTCTTTTACCAGACAACTGCACATTGAACGGTGTGCGAGGCCCTGTTGTAAACGAAGTCGAATAATACGGCTGTCCCTCTAAAGTGAGGAGTACAGACCACTAATTAGGATACAGTGGGCTAAATAAGATAGAGGTATGCACGAGGAATATGAGAGCAAAGAAAGAGCAGAGACATTTGGCAAAAATAATAATCCGAAACCAGGTTTTAAGGCAACATTTTACTAGATTTCCTCATCAAAGCTGCTTTTTACACCAAACCTTCTGTTAGGTTTTCCTCATCTTCAACCCCAAACCCTCAGGTTTCCTCAATATGTGTGTTTAAGGTTATGCCCATTTCACTCAGCATTTCCTAAACTCTTTCATCACCAAAAGATGGCGAAAAGAGCAAATTAAACATAAAACGCCCTTCCAAAAACACTTCTATGATAGGTGGATTGTCAAAAAACGAACATATCTCTTGGGGTCATTAAACAAAGTTTCAAGCAAGGTGTTCCCTTGCTTCACACTCTCTTTGAAGATGTTCCTTCCACGAATTTTGGCAGTCACTAAATTGGGAAACTAAGTCGGATTCACGTCTCCCGGGCTGTTGTCTATAGAGTGCTGACTACAATTCCCAGCACGCGACGGGGGTCGTCCCGGCCCTTGCCTGTCTCTGATTGGACAGAGTATCCAGAGTGACGACCAATCAGCGCTTCGGTTGTTGCTTCGCGGCGCTTTCCGCGGGGAACGGTGTAAAGGGCGGGGGAACTTTGAAAGTTGGATGCAGCAGACCCGGTACTGGAAAGTTTCGTGTGGGGGGCAGTGGTGGGGAAGTGGGGCTCGCTCATTAATGCTCCCTCCTAGGGCCGTGGGTGTCGGTGTTGGGGAGCGGAGAGTCTCTCTGGGCTGCTGGGCACGCCCCCTGAAGGCAGTAGGGATCCTTAAGAGATCCCCGCCACGGATCCGGGGGCTTCTGACTTTCCTTTGGGTGTATGTGGGGTGGGGGGTGCATAATGAACATTTCTAGACCCAACCCTGAATTGTAACAATTTTTAAATTAAAAAATAAAGAATAAAATAAACAAATAAAGTCTATGGTATGTTTTACAGCTTTTATGTATGTACGTATGTATGTATGTATGTATGTATTTATTTATTTATTTTTAAAATAATGTAGAGTACAATTCAGATTTAGATACACAAACATTGATTATGCAGGGTCCCTGTTTGCTGATGTATGTCCTTCCCTTCCTTAGCAGTATCCCTCCACAGTCAATCTCACCCCTCCCCCTAAACAGTTTTCCACTACTGCCAATCTGATTTTCTTTACCACATTTATGTGATCCCAGTTCAGCTTCATGAGTGATAACATATGGAGCTCTGTT